CGGGATCGTACCAAGATGCGAACTGAGTGCACTCATGCAAGGTTAGACGTTGCATCAGAGTCCGGCGTTGACAACTGCAATGACATGAATGACATATCATGTAATAAATTCTACCATTGTCAGGAGCATTTTTTTTTTCACAAAAATTCTTTAACTATTTAAAAAGTAATAAACAGTTTTCAATTGAATGGTAGTTAATTATCGCCTACCCTGTAAATACGAAATGTTGTACATAATTCAAAAACTCTGCTACAGTTGATGTATTCAGAGGCAAAAATAATTAAATAGATGGAAAATTACTTTTATTTAAAAGTGTTGGACATTTTTCAGTACAGAGTATAAAACCCTAGACTAATTACAAATTCTAGATGTCTTGTACTCTTATTATATTCTTGCAGCATTTCGTTATGGGTTAGCAATAGTACAGCATTGTTAAGAGCTCGCTGTCCGTTATTATGTTGTTACTGCTTAATTTACATATTTTTGATTGTGAGAACATGGTATATTCTACTTCTAAGCTTATTTTGTCGAATTTTGCAAGCGAAAAAAAGACGGCGCATCAAGGGGGCAAATTAAACATGTTCGAGTTTAACACAGGAAGAATAAAATATGATAAGAGAGGTGGAACAATTTGCGCTGTATTTGCGACTCGTTCTTGAAAGCATGGCTATCTGCACCTCCATCGAAAATTTATGAAAAAATATTCATTAGGCAAAGTATTATATTGCCAAAACAGTTATGTTGCAGCCCACGATTTTATAAAATTTATTTATAATAGCAACCCATGTGTGCGCCCAGTATGTGTCTGGCGCAATGCCAATGTTGCCCAGTGCTGTTTGTGCAATTTTCTGATGATTTTACGTGAAAGAAAAAGCTCTGCACAGATCAGAATTTTGATAAAATAAAAAAAAAAAAAAACACTAAAGTCGTCTATAACCTACTTTTCTTGTGCATAAACATAAATCAGGAAACTATGATCCCACATTTACAGATGGATCAAAAGCAGCCAATCAGGTTAGAATTTCGTTCATGATTGAAAACTATATGGAAGGTAAACAAACCATTACATGCTAGTTGCTCAGCTTTCATTTTGGAGTTAACTGCTACTTATTGTGTTGCTTCATATATTTCCAACTCTGTAAGAAAAAGTGCATAAATAATATATGCTGACACATTTAATGCATTAATGAGCATTCTCTGATGCCCAGAATCCTGTGGTTGCTAAAGTGCTGAAGCTAAATATGAACTTAAGGGGCCATGGGTACCATATTCTTTACTGTTGGGTTTTCAGATACATAGGGATAAAAGGTCCATTTCATCAATCATATACACTCATCACATTCTTTTCCTACCACACTCACAATGGATCTGATGCCCACAGTAAGCTCCACATTTAGGAAGAACTTGGCAAAGATCATTCCAACAGTCTGAGATAAGTTGGGTCTCAATTTGTGGTGATGGACTGAAGCAATAAATTTAGCCCCAAATGTCCCTGAACTATAGCAAACCTAACATGAATCTGATTCTCCAAAGAAAGCTACAAGCCCAGATGGTATGGACATCACCATCATCAAGATTCTGCACAAAAAATTTCCTGAGCTCAAAAGCCCTGATGGAAATTTAAACACTTTCCAAAAGACAGTAAAATACCAAAAATGGCTTTGTTTCTAAAAAATGGAAAAACTCCGAACATCCTATTGTCCAGTCTTCCTTCTTCTTGCAAATGGTAAAGTCCTGGTGAGAGGATTCAGTCTAGACCTAATTTCTATCTATACTCTCTCAAAAAATTTTACACCTACAATAACATGGCTTCACACCCAGCAAATCAACAGAACAGGCTTTTCAGGATAACAACTTTAGCCACAATAAAAGACTAGATATGCATACCATAGCCACAGGCCCTTGACATAAAGGGCATAAGCTTGACATAATTTGATACGCTATGGTGGTCAGACATGATCCACAGATTATGCTAATTGAAATTGGCCACAGTTATCTTCAAGGCAAGAGGGTACATATTACTACAGACAAGGATGTTGTCAAAAAGGCCATTACATGGTGTTGCTCTCAAGGATTCTGTCTTGGTCCAACTCTGTATTTGACTGTTTTAAAAACGTCAAAATAACTAGGTTCTTTACTTACACAGATGACTTCCTACTTGTTGTTGCAGGCAGAAATGATGTAGCAAATGTCTATGTGAATATCTTTGCCAATTGCGCCGGGAAATACAAACTGACAGATCAGTTGATAAAAATTAGGCCCTGGTGATTGGGAGCAAAAGCACCCTGAAGAAATATCCCAGCCCGACTTCAAGGAAGATAAATAAGAATTGTCCAACAACTGAAATACCTCAGGCTAATCATAAATAATAGGCTCTCATGGATGCCACATATTAAGGACCTCAAACAGTAGGTGAGCATTGCTCAAATGAGGAGCATTAACAAAACTGCTTTTAGATTGTGGTATAAGACAGTAGCAGAAATGGCTAATCTATAAGGGGCACAAACTTAATGGAACGTATAAAGTGCAATCTCCTCTTTAATGCAGTGAAAGCATCTGTACGATCCTACATTTATTCTTAATGATCTGTAAACCTTATCAAACCATACTAATGGCAGCAATGCAAGTCTTATCTGGAATACTAGCAATAGGCCTGACATATGAAAGAGAGAGTGTCTGGGACACGTGATTTGGATGAACACATTTGTTCTAACTTTTACACGAGGTTTAGTTTTTATTTTAAAGGGATATAGCAATTATTTCTACTTCTTTTTCACTGCCACTATTTGTATTACGAACGGACTGTTCCAGCCTAATTAAGATGCAAAAACGGAACTCAAAGTTACGTCATCTGGAAAGATGAGTCGTGTAGACAGCTGATTGGCTGCCGTGAGATGACGTCATGTCTACTTCATGTATAAGTATCTCGCATCGCTCTGGCTTAGTCCTTCTTGTTTGTTTTCATTGCTCCTCGTGTGCTAGCGCTCATTGGAAGACGTTATTGCGATGCGTGTCATCCAGCGACAAGTACCGTGGTTCCGGGCCATGTTGGTTTTTCCTGGATTCTGCAAAGCGCCGATGATATGAGCAACTGCTGTGGGCAGCATCCTGTTCCATGGTTCAGCGCCGATAAATCTCAAGTTGTGATTTCCGGTGAGCAACTGCTGAAGGCAGCATCATTAATACAAGTGTTTTTAAGGTCTAGAGGTGATGTTTTTCCAAGCTGTGTTTTTCCCGTGAGCAACTGCAGTCAGCGGCATTTACCAATTCAAGTATATTCAAGATTTAATTTTTCAGGTGCCTTCTTGGCCAAAAGCATAGACCTATTTTTTAGTCAAGTGAAATTCAAATTAATCGCGTTCTAATTCTATTCAAATTATGTTCATTATTATTATGTCCAAATTCTATAAATACTTCTCTATTTTGTTCTGTGTTTTTCACGAATAATTGAATGCCAGTATTCATAGAACAGGTAATATATTTACTGTATCATTAATAGTGTAATATTCTTTAAAGGAAAAACCCCTGGAGTTAATGAATAGTTAACTGAGTGTAATTTTTTTTTTACATTGATTATGTTGCATTCTTAACTTTAAGTTTCTGGTATTGATCAAATTTATTTATTGTATTTTTATTTCTATATATATTGTTAATAAATTGGTTAAGTTTAAAATTTTTGCCATCTATGTCTGCACAGTACATAATCTGGGAGCTTCTATTGCTATTTCTGCTAAATGTTTTCTATAACTTTAAACTTTGCTTTTGCATCAGGTACTCATTTTGTGGACCCAAGTGATGGAAATCAAGAGATGAAAGGCTAAGTCGAGATTGCTTAGCACGGGAATCGAACCCCAGACCTGTGGTGCTGTTGCGCGATGCACTAGGCACTGCGCCACCGGGCCTTTTTAATGCAAACAGTACATTCTGCATTAATAACTTTTTGGTCTTTTGTTTCCATGGCAAAAACTAATTTTTTGTTTATCCCAATAAAACTCATACTGTCCTTGTGCTTTTGTGTATGCATATGTTTTAGAAAATTGGCCCTTTCACTGTGCAAAATCAAAAAATTGCAATGACAAATGGTAATCACAAATATATTACTCCTTGAGGAAATAATAGAAGGAAAGTCATTAGTGTATGATTTTTGTGTATGATTCAGAATCAATCCTATTTGTATTTTGTGAATAAATTTCCCTTATTTTTATATTTAATTGGACTCTGGTTGCACATCAATGTCTACAATAGCGTATTTACTCTAGTAACATTTCACTCTTAACTTTAATAAATATATTGTGTAACCCAGAAGTATGTCTAACCTGGATGATAAAATTAGGCACTGAATTATGAATTTATATTGTATATAAATTGTCTTCACCTTAAATTATACAATACTCTGCTCATTTGTAAAACACCAGATGTCTCTACATTGAAAGCATATAAGCTGTTCAAGAGCCTTGTTTGTTCACACTATTTATTTATTTTTTTTTTTTTTTTTTAGAAAAATAATAAATAAGATCTACTCTGATGAGTAACTGATAACCCTCTCAGAGCCTGGTCAGGAGCCTGCTCAGCAGCGAGTAGTAGTGGTTTGTGCCATTAAGTGTATATAATAAAGATGAACCACAGCTTTGGTAAGTCTTGCATATTTCTACTTTTTATTAAATTAGCCTAAAAACTTGGTGGACACATTGTATGGATAAGTCATTTTTGTACAGTCATACATCCTTAGACATTTGTAGTGTTTTGAAACTCACCCTTACTCTAATTTTCAGTAATAATAAATCATTTGCCAAAATATGAACCCTTATACTCACAATACGCATGCCTTAATGTAGATTCCACTAAATTATAAATTTCTGAATACTAGATCTATTAGATGCTTGATTAGATTTAATTGATGGAATTTATCAGGATGTAATCCCATAATCAACGAAGTACTTATACATCAGAAATGTTCTTAATGCATACAGTAATATAAATGAAAGAAACATTAAACAATATCAAGCTGTATGGTTTTATTATCACAAAGTGTGAACAAATTCTATAAATACTTCTCTATTTTGTCCTATAACAATCAAAATGAAATGTGACAGACAAGTTATATAAAAGCTAAAATACATTCACGTTACTATGGTAGTAATCTATGGTAATTTCATCAAATACAATATTGAACCAAATATTAAAATATCACAAAATAAGCTCATTCAACAGTTTCACATTCATTCATATTCTTTCTGAAGACTGTAAAAACTGCAGTTTGAAGTTAGGAAATAATAATAAAAAAAATAAAAAAAAAAAAAAAACTGAAAATCTTTAAATATTGTTATAAGTATATTTGACACTTTTTTGAGTATATAAATGAAAAATTCTTTTCCATTTTAAAATAAAAATTGTAAAATTTCATACCACTTGTGATTTTGTACATAGCAATTAAAAATATTCTTACGATTTAATTGCAAAGTCAACTGTGAATAAAAAAATAATTTTGGATTTATGGCAATTCGGGAGCTTTTCCAGAATGAATAACTATGCAAATGAAGACCATATATACATACAGTCCAATAATGTGAGGCATGCTGTTCTGAGATCTTATTTTGTACTTTAAACAGCACTTTGGTAAAATTATACAAAATACTTGATCCCAACACAATTGCATTTTTTGAGTATGATTTCATATCTTCTTAGCTTGCCACGGTTAAAATAATTTCTTCTCATAGCTGGAAAAATATATATATATATATATATACTTTTATAAAAGAATTGTGAAAGAATATTTCAGGTTTGCATATGAAAAATATCATGTACAATTTTAAAATTTTTTTAATATGCTATTACAATTAATGGAACATAAAGAATATAAACCAATGCAATTTAACCCCTTAAATATTTGTATAATTATAAATGTATGCACAATAATATGCATCTTTCATAAATGCTGTATTTTTGCATTTTTATCTTTTTCTAAGCTTGAAATATGTGATCATTATGCAAATGCACAAGAGTTAGCAAATGCAGAATACTCTTGCTTATTGATTTTTTTAGTCAAGAACAAATTAGATGGTGATTTTAGAAAAGCCCTAGTATTAGCAATGCTGCCTATCATACTGTTGGCTCTGATTTTAAATCCTGGGGGTCTGGATGTTTGTAAGTGTTAAATGTTTGTGTGCCAAGGAAACACTTAAAATACTAATAAGTTGAAAATCTTACGAGGTTTGATGTTAGGAGAAGAGGAGTGAGAGACCCTCAAATCCTTCCTTCAGGGTTTTCATCAAAACTGGAACATAATTTTCCCATTCTCATAAATATAAAATTGGTCAACTCTGTGATGCATCTTGAACAATGTTCTCAGCTCAGTGATAACAGAGCTATATGGTTTGGTTTAACTGATTATGACAAAGCTCTCAAAGGCTATCTGCCTAAGAGGGTGGATGCCTTTGTGGAGGATTTTTTAAGAAAAACTGGTTTGTATACACATTACATATGTAGAAAACTACCAAAAAAAAAAAAAAAAAAAAAAAAAAAAAAAAAACATGGAACTAGCCTATTCACCAACACTCAAACCATAGACAATACTACTAGTGTTTAGTGGATGGCCGCTGTTGGGTTAGACAGCTATGTGACTGATAAGTATATGCCATTTTCAATGAATATTTGAATGTCCAGCCATTTGAAAAACAATGCATCTCATGAGCTGTCTTACAGAACTTCTGTTATCTGTATTTCCACCACACTGAAGTGCATAATATATATATCTGACAGCTGGAGGCATTAGTTTGTATCAGTGAGTATCAAACCACACACCTTTTAGTTCATACATAAATACTTTAACAACTGGACTAAAAGCATACACAAAATCCTCTCAAATGTATACATGGGTGCTAAATAGACCTTACCTTTTCTGTCTGCAAGTAAGACAGAGCTAAGTTTGTGAACTACAAATGAAACTTAACACATCTGTGAAAGATAGCAACAAACTGGATATAAGAATGAAGACTGGCTTCGATATGAATGAGCCTTTTGTAGAGATGTACAGGAAAGGAGTACAGCTTTCAATGTGCAATTTGCATCACGTCCAATACATTACAATGATGGTAATCATATATTGCTAGAGTTGGAAAAGCCTTAGTTTTTGTTGGACTTTTTATTTGTCTTTGTATCCTATTGCTTTATCGAGTAACTTCATCGACTATTGCTTATTGATTGCTTTATTGTCTGTAAAGCATGTTCCTACGCTGGATGCTAAATCTGAGTTGATAGCTCGTATAATTTTTCACAAATTTGCTGCTTTTGACAAACTTATGTGACTAAAATCTATGTCTCTGTGATTTTGTGAAATTTTTCAAACTTCATCATTTCTCGTGTTACTTTTTCAGACTTTGAAATGTTTTAATACACTGTAAAATGCACACATAGTAATGTTAAAATAATTTATTAAAACTATTTTACAATAACTAGATAAATAAAAAATTTTTTAGGCTTAAATAGAAGTTTGTATCTGGTAAGCCTGAGATCACAGAACAGGTGCAAACTGTTTTCAGCTCCAGTTGCTGGTTTTTTATATGTTTGGTTGATTGCTTTGTTTATTCTTTAAAATTTGCCAATGATTCCACGCTTCAAATAAAGATGTCAGAGGATGCAAAAGATATCTGCTGTGTTTGCTTTGTACCCTCCCCACCCACACATATATGTAGCTCAGATATTTAAAAAATAAGAGGATAAGAGAATAAGAAAATGAATAGGACATTTAAAAATTTACTCATGGATTACTCATTAAAATTACTCATGGAATTTCACGAAAACAACAGTAATAAAAGGGAACTATAAAACAGTGTAAATCAGTTATAAACCTTAATACTAATATTGATGGTTTTATTACTTTATCAGTTTTGCTTTTAAGCCACTTTTCCCCGAATTCCAAGGTAATAATGAAGCGATTAATAGCCTGAATGCCATATACTAGGCACTCAAACAGATAAATGAAATCCTGAATTTCCTGATTATAATATTGCTAAGAACTAAACAATTGATATGACTAAAAAATCAAAGCAAAATGATTTTCTAATTAGCAACAGAAATTTACCATTGAAAGAATGGAGATTTTATTAGAAATCAGAATCTGATGAAGTTAAATAAGTCAAGCAAGCAAAATGGCAAACTTGTTGAAAAGCTTTAACAATTAAAGCAAAAAATAATGAATTGAAAAAAGAACTACAAACTCAATAATATTAGCATAAAAGCATTAGCATTCCAAATGTGAGGTAGTACTTACAATGGATATGAACAAATTCATTTAAAAATAAAAGCATAAATTAAAACTAAGAAATGAATGGATAGTTAGCAATATATATATATATATATATATATTTTTAATTTTGTCAAAAATAAGATAGCTAATTAAAACGACTAAGAATCAAAGTCTAACTTACAGAACCAAAGAGACCAAATTTGTGATGATGTCTTAGGTCATGAGAACACATTTAACAATGATATCTCCCCAAATCACCTGATCTCTGATGCTATGTGCTACTTTTTGTGATTTTTCTCCTGCTACTCTAATAGCAAAACTTCTAGCAACATTGCACTAAATGAGCTTTTTCTGTGAGTAAATAAGATAGCTATATCCTAATACAAGCATATATTTTCCACATATGATTGCTCTGGATACCATCTTCATCACCTTACCACCACCACAGCACAGATAACTGTGCTGTAACATACAGTTCCTGAAAAGGCAGGGACATACAACACAGATATTGTAGAACATCATCTGGTGCAAAAAGATTACCAAATCAAAGAAAGTGAGAGAGTTCAATACCATTGAAGTTCTTTCATTGTGCTATCAGACAGAATGCTGTTCAAGGCTGATGTCATGATGGAAATTTAAAATTTTCAGATATTAAGAGAAAGAAGAAGCGAGGAATATACTTTTATGAGATTGGAGCACATGAACTTTCAACTACATTAGATAATGTGCATAAAACTGTAAAAGATGACAGTTTCAATATATTTTATCCCTTTTCTTCCCCTCCTTTTAAGTTACTAGAATCTGCGATTTTGCATAATAAAACTTGATACATGTTATTAAAGAAATATAAAAACAGCACTTTCAGCCAAATTTGGTGCTTTTCTACTCTTTTCCGAGATTCAGTCTGTAATGAACTAGAGGAGCATGTAAAAGGTTGTTTTACTAATCTGCCCACAAGACAAAGTTATCTGCAATTGTTTTAAACAGTCTTAATTTTAAATTTACTGTTTCTGAAATTAATAAACATTATCTCTCATACTCAAGTTATTTCCTGCTTCAGTTCTCAATGATTTAGTAATGAGCCTAAATAACATGTATAACAAAAGTCTTTTGAATTTTAGATTACATGTCATAACTTTGAAAAATAAGCTTTAGAATCACGAAAAATAAAAGCTCTCAAAATATCAAGTATATAATATATGCATATACATGAATTAAGTAAAAGATTGAAGATTTGATTAACTAATCATTGTTTTTTCAATTATAAACTTCCCTCTCCATACTTAAGTCAGTAATCTACAAAAAATCACTAATTTGAGAAAAGTGTAAACACTTTGCATATTCATTTTATTAAATATATATTTTAAAGCACTAACTTATAAATTTTCATTTTGCATTAAACAATTATGTTATATGTAATACACATATACATACATGTACAGTTTGTATTGTTGATGACTGATTAATATACACCTGTACAATTACTGAGTCATTATTTTATCACATGAACATAACAGAGTTTTACTCAAAACCAAACTCATGTTAAATATTTATACTTCCCTATCTAAGCTGTTTGCTGTTTGTGTTGAAATTTCTGCATTTTTTTCTACTTGTATATGATTTTCCAAAAATTCAGAATCATTTGGATAAGAGACATATTTTTCACTTCAGAAACTGAATTATGACAAACTGGCAGAGTCAAATATTCTGCATGTTGTTTATTTTTAAGAACCTCTTGATTTTCCTTGTGTGAGATCAAAAAGCCCTCTTAAACTGTTATTTACATATAACTGCTGGAAAATTTTGAACAAATATTACATGAAAAAATGTAAAACCAAAACAAGGGGGGGTAAAGTCAAATTTACCGCATTTACTACTGTTCTATACAACTACAAAACTAAGATACAAAGTTGACAAATATGAAAAAAAGAAGTGTTAACATATACATCACTATGCGCTAGTGTGCAGCTTATATAAGATTGACATCACCAAATCATGCACTAACATGCGACTGGTAGCAAACATGTTATGTTAAAGCAATAATTTTGCTTATTAAGAATTTGGCATGGAGGTGAAAATATGTTAAGGAGCAAAGACTATTCAGTTGTCAATAATTCATTAAATGTAAATCAGATAATTATGAACAATGAAATTACATGAAATGGTGTGAATAAAACTTAACATCAAAAACACATATATTATTTTCCATATTAAAATTATGCTTAAAATTTCACAACATTTAAATTTCAACTTGCTTTTATAAAATTGTCCATCATTTATACATTGTTGAAAACTTAAAATGGAAAATCAGTACATTTCTAATGGATTATTACAGCTAAGAAAAAATAAATAAATCACTTACGAATGAAGTCCATGAACACCCCCTTCAGCTTGTGCAGAAACAGTCCTTTTCTCAAATTTCAAATCACCTTTATACATCATATCTCTGCAAAGTATAACATCAAAAAATTAGAAATTAAAGCAATTTTTTTGAAAAACAAACATCCGAGTGCTTAACAATAATGTTATCTAAAATACAGTAGAAAGTCTAAACTCTGGACGTCCATTAACCCTTTCTGGCATGCTACCTTTTAAGTCGGAGATTTGATATATATATAAAAAATAATTAAAAAAAAAAAAAAAAAAGGGTAGGCAGTCTAATTAGGCTTAGAGGAGTACATAGGTAAAATTTTGTGAAGATAGAACTTATGGTTTTAATTCTGTGGGTATGCCCAAAGTGGCACACTGATTGAATAGAGCTTCAAAAAGAGTGCTGAAATGAGCATTGTTGTCAATGAACTGAACGATGAGACATGGAGAAACAAAGAATATAGACTCTCAGCTGTCCTAGATTATCAGTGAGCCCAGTCTGGGCACACCTAGGGTTGACCGCTGGATTTTAGGCAAGACTTCAAGGTAAAAATTTAAAACTAATATAGAATAAAGAGATTAGAAAACAGCCAAAAAAATAACATGGACATTTCTTTTCAAACAATTCCTTTTATACCCTAGAAAAAATCTGGAAGATTTCTTTGAAAAATGAGGGTCTTAAAAAAATAAACATGGCTAAAATATGTGGACTAGTTTGTGTTGAGCTGCCACCTACTATAAATAAAGAAGATTCAGAGTAACCTATAAATTCTTTTTCACTCAATTTTTCTGTGCGTACAGAAGAACATTTTTAGGTGTGTCCAGACCGGACACACTGTGCCGCAAAGGCTTAATCGGAATGATCTAAAATCCAGACCTCAAAACCACCAACAATGTTTTCCTGGTAGGCTTTACGCATGGGCATTGAACCCCCCCTTCCGAGCACGATAAAACATCTGGAGAGTCTCAATTGTTAATTTCACTTCAACACTAAATAAAATAAATTGTTATTGAAGAAACAATCATTTTAGCATAAAATTGTAGATCAGTAATTTGGCTCCGTTGCTGTGTATCTCAAACCGAAACATTCCACATAGATACAACATTGATCTGATGCCAACCTGGCGAATCACTATTTTATACTTTGCTTTCATCACCACATATTTATCAAAACATGATAACTTGAGTAATGACTCATGTAGCGATGCCTAAGCAATTTTTTATTTTAGTAGTTGAATAATAAAGAAGTATGGTAACTTTTTATGTTGGCATTATGCTTGGCGATGATTGCAGATTTAAGTTAAATGCACTAAAAAATGTTGACGAGGAAAAATTTACCAAAAATTTCTTTCCATATGCTAAAAATAGATTTTATTGATGATACTTATAGACCCAAAGATTACATTCAGGGCTATTTGAATTAAGAATAACTGATTTGGTATTCACATATATCCAAGACCAGCAGCAGTGCTCATATGGCCGCACCGAGGTGCAGAATTTAGGACCCACATAGACTGCATCAGGCAGTAAGATATCTAGCGGCAGCCCTTAATAAGGCTTAAGTATATGTGGGAATTTATTTACTCAGAACTTTGATAAGCCTTAAGCATGTACAAGAAATAGACATAAGTATAATAAATAACTAATACAATTCAGGCTTAATTATCTAAGTGGGCAATAGAAGCAAGATAAAATTTAATGGAACAACTTATTGTTAGCCACCAAGCTCATGACGCATAGCCAAATATGTGTAGTGAAAGATAGCTAAATTTGATGATGATAGCCACTAATTTTAAAGGTTTTTGGATATCACAAAACAAAGGTGAAATTTCCAGTTAGCGGATTTTGTAAAGAAATGTGAAGCGATAATAAATTATGACATAAAAGATGTTTTTTGTTGTGATGACAATGCTTCTCAATCATCAATCAATTAATGAATGAATGGCGAAATCTGTAGTATGGTTCTAGATCCAGAAAATACCGCTACTGATAGTGCAGAAAAAGGTACGGAAGTTACTAAAAATGAGAAAATTTCGATTGACAAGTTAGTTAGATTTTTATTTTTGAATACTAGTTACACAGTAAAAAGTCTGTTAACATGGCATAATAAATGATTTGGCATTATCCATAATCCTATATATATATAACAGGAGTGCTACCTGATGAGGCTATAAGTGTACTATTAGGAATTCTATGAGAAGTATATGGCATTTGCTTCAAACCAACATAATTATGGCTGAATATTACATAGCAAAATCCTGTCAGAAGACATAAAACTATCAATAGTCTTACAATTAATCATTCTAAGCTTCTGGAATCAATCAAAGGACTTTCAAGCAATTGCCTAATCACACTTTCAAGAAATAAAATTTACTGAATAAACTAAGGAAGCCAAAGAGTAGCGAGCTGTCGTAAACTGCATTGGTATGAAAAGAAGTGGAAACTGATGAGAAGGTTCAACTAATATTACTTAAGCCTGCCAAAGTAGGAAACATTTTTGTGAAATTTACACAGAGTAATACCACAAAGCAGTAGAGAATGATTGAATACGCATATAATTTTCATTAATGTTTTGATAAAAAGGTAAATGGACTTTCAAACTCTGAAAATTCTTCAAAACAATGATAATACAGTGAATTCCAAAACACTAAATGATTAAGAATAATAAATTATACATATTTTGTAATTATCTTCTAGCATATTTTAAGTCATCAAATGTGTTTGTAGGGTTACTCAACATAAAGCTTTATTAAAGTTTCATATTGCAGTTACATTTACAAAATTATTTCTGCTGCATTATTTTGAGAAGTCTAATGCTTTGATAATGCAGCATTATTGGAGTCCTGAACTTGATGGACTACTTATTTGATTGTGTCAAATACGTTTTTCAAGTTAAGTATTTATAATTCTAAAAAGAAGAAATAGGATTAACATTTTTTTAAATTCAATTAATGCCTTATGTAAATGAAAGACTGCACAAAAAAATAAATTATAACATTAAAAATATAGTAAAAGCTTTCTTATTAAGTACTTGGGCTAAGTAATTAGTTATTCTTCATAAAATATTTTTTTACAACACTAGGTATTAAATTTACATCTTAAGTTATTTTAAATATTTTTATTACCTTGAAGTGGTGATGGCACTTTTTTGTTAGTGATAAAATCCTATCGATTATTAATAAAGATTAGAAACATGGAAATATGTGTTTGCCAACTAGAATGCATATTAAGATCTTTTATTCATATTTAATATTACAAATATGTGTTTCAGTTCAACATAATGAAATTAATTATTTAAAAAATATTTCATACGTTCTTCTCAGTAACATTTTACAACAAGCATAATCACATAATAAAATGTTTCTAATACTCTAAAATACATGACTGCAAAATCTAACTATATTTCTCCTGTACATTATAATCTGCACCAAAATTGAATATTACAATGATAAAATTTCATATAACATAGATTGCATGCTTTTGTCTGTATTTTCTTTCAAAAGGTAAAAACATTTTTTAATACTTCAAACATACTTAATTTTCTAATACTAATATTTTTATGTTTATACAGTTTTACAATGAAACAGAAAATACATAATTGATAAATCTTTTTTTCAGGAGATGGGGCAAAATTTACTTTTTAATTTATTCAATAATATGAGTTTAAGTTTTAAAGTTAGCAATAACACATATTATTTAATAAAAACATTCTTTCATATGCTATAGACTGCAATCTAAAATGTCCAACTGCACTTCCTTTCCTTTTAAACTTTTATATCATGTACTTATATACCATTATCATATTATCATGCCTTGATCCTACTCTAGTTTTGAGTGATATTTGATACTTATTCATCCTTTATTTTGATACAAAATTTGGAAGGAAAAAAGAAATCACGGTGCAGAATATATGCAAAATGGCCAAGACTTCACTTTCTCAGAAGTCATTGCTAGTAATATTTCTGCAGTCTGAGGCAATATAGAACTAGCTATCTGTTTTGGCTCAGTATTTGAAACAAAATCGGGAACGTTATAGTTTCATACATTTGGCAACTAGGGTAATAAGCATAACATTGAGATACTTGATTTTATATAACTATATAAAGTACTAGACAGTATACCGTAATATTTGCAGGCTTCTTGCTCCAATATCCTGACATCCATATTTCATTCCTGTAATGAGATATGGCATGAATCGATGAATTGATCCTTTATCGGGTATTGTGCCAGATACACCTTGGGCTACCCTTACTTTATCTTGATCCCTGGAAATATATTATAAACCTATAGAACTTTAAAACAACTGACATCATTCTTAATATATTCAGTTGCTAATAAATCTTTGCACTAAATATATATCAATATATTAAATTTTAGAGATTGTTAAGATACAGATAGCATTAAAATTACTGAAAATAGCAAAAGGATTTTTAATAATAAATTATTAAAAATAAATATTGAAATTAAATATTGAAATATAAATATTGAATAAATTATTAAAAATAAATATCAAAAAATAAATTTTTCATGAATAAAGTAAAGACAGCAGTTCAATTCCAAGATCACCTTATTAATGATGAGAGCAGATCTGAGATAGTATTTTTATATATATCAGAGTTCCCAATAATAAGTGAATATCAATAAAATAATTATAACATTAATTCAAAATCATGATTATTGTGGCATAAAATCATAGATTTATAGCGTTAAATGTTCTGCCGAGTGAGAAACAGAAACAGTGCAAGATCAGTACAGTATGGTGTTTTCACAATGCAAGTGTCAAATTCCAGTTTTCTCTTAAAAACAGTGAAATTTTTAATCTGTTATTTTAATGCTATTATAAAAACATTATTATATCCATTAAAAAGTCACAAAAATTATAAATGATAAAAAAATTGACATTATACAACTTTAAAGCTATGAAAGAGGTGATGAATCACCAATGCTTTTGTATGTTGGATTATGGATAATGCCAAATCACCAACGCTTTTGTCATATAGCAACGCATAATGAAAGAATACAGATTTAATAAGAGTTTAATGCAATAATATGCTTCAAAATTGCTGCCTTTTCCGTAGAAAAGACTGAATCTGTTCATTAATATGGCAATAGCTGAGAGAAAGAATCAAATTATAATGAAAACAAATAAACCTGAACCTAGAACTTATGGAAAATGTGAAATTTCTACAAAAAATTGAAATTTACAAATTTGATAAAAATTAAGAAATATACAGAAATATTTACAAGCATGGAATTATCATTTTACCTATCATTAGTATGCTTGTGTTTCATTTCTTTAACCCTTTGCGACACGCATATTTAAAATATATTTTAATCTTTAAAAAAATGCCTTAGAATAAGTCAGATGGACTTACTTAAGTGCCTTTAAGGCTTGAAAAAAATTCTGTGCTTTTATTTTTTACGGGGGAAGGTGGGATACCATTTGTCCCACCATGCAACTAGCACATGTCTTATAGCATATTGGTGTATAGCAGGGAAAAAAAATCATATGTGGAATGAATAAACAAAATAAAGCGTGCATTCTAAAATATTCATAATAAACACACTAAAATGCATTTTGTACTTATTGCATATATGCATGACTTGTAAAATTTTGAATATGCACATTTTACATATATATATTTAATATTTTTAAATTTTAAGAACAAAAGAAAATATTTCTTGAATATTATTTTAAGATTAAAATTTGATACACGTACAAATGATACTAAATAAAATATTGAAATTGGCACTTGATTCAAAAACATTTATATATGATTAAAAACTGAAAAAAGTCATTTTTCATGAAAACTTTGAAAAAATGTTGTTTCATTCTTTTGTAAGCATATGGAGGCACTTCACATGTTTCACATATCCAAAATGTTCGTTGTTTTTCTCTTCGATGTGATGCGAATATGCACGTCTTTCTCCTGCTCGTTCACTTTGGCATGTGTAACTTATATTTTTTAGTCTCTTTCTGGTTGTACGAACGAGTTTTTTAGTTTTTATTTGAACTGGGGATTTCAGTTCATCTTTTCTGCTCTTTCTTGCCTGCAAGTGCCATTAGACCTTCTATAACTGAGAGACTAAAATCTTTCATTGTTTTTACATCATGATCGGGTTTGCGAACAAACTTAAATAGAATAAATGCGTTTACTACACTCTCCATCTAAAAAGTAAAAAAAAAAAAAAAAATCATGTGCCACCATTTCTTGCTTTTGCAGTCCTATTTCATATAGTCCTTTCAGTTGCTCAAATCAAGTCGACATATCCCATGTTCTTATCGTATGAAATAACGCTGTTTGGGCACAGTACTTTTTTTGTTGTTGTTGTTGTTATTGTTTTTCCATCTCGTTCTTTTCTATTAATTTCTTTCATTTCAGTTGCCTTTTCCAAGGAAGACAGGATAGAAACGGATCTTTTATCCTTCCATTTTATGCAATAAATTGAATCATCTCTAACTGAAAAGTCTATATATTTTCTTGACATAAATTTGTGGGTAGATACTTCCGATTCATATTTACAGTGCCACATGCATAGATGGGTCTGTGTCTTTAAAAAGCGAAACAAATTATAACTACTTTCCTTTCTTCTTCAGCAATAACTTCAACCTCAGCTATTCTCTCCTGGATTTCAATTTCATCTGAATCAGAACTGACATCTGAAGCATTTGAGTCGCAATCGGATGGCAATTCAGCAAAAAGATCCAAAGCTTCCTGTGTTGTTAATTTTTTTCTAGATATTTTAGCACATCAGAGCATACAACGGATGTAAAAGCGTGCGCAATCACGAAAAAAGTACATGCAAAAAGAAAAGAAAAAATAATCGTGAGTGCTGCCATCTATTGAGCGGAAATTCAAGTGTGTGATGGGACAAATTTTAACCCACTTATTTTAACTGCAAAATTAATGTTATAAAATATTGAATCCAATTAAGATTTTCGAAAATAAAATACCTTTGAATATTAAAAAGAATCATGCATATCCTAAATTGTATACCAAAATGTTTAAAATATTGAAAAATGCGAGATACATGGATATCACTCTTGTGATCCTATTTTGAATATTTTTTGCTTATAAACTGAAGCCCTGGTATAGTAGTGACATCTACTGAGAAAAATAATAACTAAAATAGATTATTTTTAAAAGATTAGAAAATTTCTAATGGAAATTGCTAACTGAGAAAATAAATATTAATTAGGTGGGACATATATTGACCCACCATGCCGCAAAGGGTTAATGAATTTTTTGTATATAATATACTTGATAAATAAGGACTTTTACCATAAAGCATCATTAGTAATTAATACAGAAAATCTCTTGAGCTAGATTTTGATAACTGCAATTGTCAGATGCAAATGAACTTGTTCATTGTTTATCCTCTTTGAGTAATAGTATACATTAGTCATGAATACTACACCTTTGAGTTAAATATAAAGCAGCAATAATACAACCTAGTAATTTCTGTTGCAATGATAATTTTGAAAGATACAATAAGACCCCGCTTAACGCTGTTTCGTTTAGCGCTGTTTCAGTTTAGTGCTCTCTTATTTCAACCTGGGGATTCCCCGAAATTGTACACAGCGCTAGGTTTCCAAATAACATATCCAAAACAGTGTAGTTGTGTTTCTTGTTTGGTGCGGTGCTGTACGGACGCATTTTTATCATTTGAAACATTTGTTGACATTATTGTAAGTATAAATTTATATAATACTATAATGATTAATACAGTGACAAATATTATGATCTTTAGTTTTTATCATGGGTGGATAATAAAAAACAAGAAAAGAAAGCAACCAAAAAAAGCATTTCACTGGAAACTAAAATGAAAGTGATTAGAAGATTAGATTCTAGTGAACGTCAATCTCAAATTAGTACTGCATTGAATTTGGCAACTTCAACAATAAGGACAATTCTTAAGAATAAAGAAAAAATACTATCATCGGCAACTGCAACTACGTCAAGCTGTGCAACTAGAATTACCCATTCTAGAAATAACATTATAGAAGAAATGGAAAAACGACTGTCTATATGGATTGACGACGAAATTGAATGCAATATGCCATTAAAGCTAATCTATCATAATGCCTTCTTGACAAAAAGGCACAAAATTGGAAACACAGAATAGACTGAATGATCTGACTGAGAATTATATTTGTTTTTATAAGTATATTCGTTTATATTGTTTTTATTTTTGTAAAAAATAAATGTTTGGTTTTATTTTTATTAAAAAATATTAAATTTAATACCTAACCAATTTTCTATCCATCTTCCCCTAACCCCATTATTTACATGTTAAGATAGCCTCGTTTAGCGCTGTTTCGCATTACGCTCTATTTTGATGGAACGTATCCCCCGCGTTAAGCAGGATCTTACTGTATTGTGAATGCAAAGTCTGTTGTCTGAGTGCTAGTAGTAGAAGCACTCAAGCAGCAAAACCACTGAATTAGATCTGAAAGAAGTGCAGCTTGTTCCCTTTTCGCATGACAACAATGCAAAGTCATACACAAAGCAAATCAACATATGATTTCACATTTATCATACCCTTTTGCAGCTTAGATTTAGTATCATCTAATTCTTAATAATCCCTCTAAATATGCTAAAGAATAAACATTATTTTATCTCAGTTACAGCATGAAAATGGCTCAAAATTTTTCACAAAAAGAATGAAAAAGTATATAGTATAGCTTGAAAAATATGAATTAGTAAATGAAAATAAATGTTTAAAAGAAATGATTTTAATAAAAGTTTATTATTTTATCCTGAATTTATTTTATACGACTGGAGACCTTATTTATCAATAACTCCTCATAACACATTACACACCACAAAACTACTCACTCACCCAGCAAAATAACGATCTCGACTCCCTTGACCTTGCTTGGAATCCATTGCATCAAGTGATCCCATTCCTCGGAATTTTTTTAGACGAACTCCATCCGAGTAAAAATAATCTCCTGGTGATTCAGTTGTTCCAGCCACCAACGAGCCCATCATAACTATAAGATATTCAAATTAACTCTCCAATTGACATAATATTTACATAGTACAGAACTAAAACAATGTATTCAAAATAAATCAACGAAGTTCTTAGAATTGCAAATACATACATTTTTAGATACTGGACATGGCCAGCTTGTGAACTATAGTCATGACCAACATGTACCTTTTTGGCTCCTTGTATGTAGCTCGCTTTGCAATTTTTACATGTTCTTTGCAGTGTTTCTAAGCTTTATTTCTGAAATTTCATTCCAACATAAATTGTTCTAAGACATAGTTTTTTAATAATCAGTATCTTTACTTTTACATTATATTTACATAAATTCAAATTACAAACTGTGCACTATTTTTGCAATTTTAACAATAATACTGAAGTATTAGTTTAAAAAAAATGTGAAGGCTCTAGCAGAAAAATATACACATTTGCTATTATATTTAATGATATTCCTTATTTTTTTAACTTTTCAAATAGTGGTACAAATATGTTTACTTGTAACTTACAATAAAAGAAGCAATGCACATCTAACACTCAAATTTGCACTTAATGGATTAATCCTTTGCACTTGATGCCTTTTTCGCTCTGATGAACCAGCAACCCGAGATGATTTTCTACATATTTAGTGAATTTCTTAAAGCAAACTTAAAATGATTTCACATAAAATTTAAAGAAATCTAATGGTTCTTTTATGTCTGGAGATACTTGCAGTGCTGCGGGTCTTTTGCCGGATACCAGCAGTATTCTTTGCAATATTTCTTCCGATTCCATGCAAGTTTTCAATTCTTAATTTTCTGTGTCTTTTATGGAATTACTGTAGCCTCTACATTCACTACCTAATATCCTGATTTTTCAGCTTCTTACACCTCTTACTTCATCACTATCCTCAACACAACTTATCTGCTCTCCATTGTCAAGTAGTTTATGCATAGATGTAATTTCATTCTTCATTATCAGAAAATGGAACTCATCTTCATTTGAGTTGATTCCTTCTATGCTTACTGGACTCCATAACACTAAAAATAATATTAGTATTGCCACAACTGTTGAGTTCAAACCAACATCCAAAATCCATATATAATAATAAATCTAAAAAAACATATTTAAAATTAAAGATAGGTCAAACTGAGTGATGATCGAGATTTACATCTCAAGTGCAAAAGGAATTTAAAAGCAATTAGTTATATGATTTACAATTTTACCACTACCTATTAATCCTCATGTTTTTATGCATACCAGAGTTGCCAACTCTCCTGATTTTCGACCGCTCTCCTGCCAACCCGATTTACAATATATTTCTTTCGACTTTTTCTTATTCTTAAAATTTCTCACGATCTTTATGAAACTTGGCTTAATACTTCGTTACACACACACACACACACACACACACACACACACACACACACACACACACATGTTTGATACACACATGTTTGATATACACACACATGTTTGATACACATATATATATAAAGTGATTTTGAACGTCTGAAAGCAATTGAATTTTCTCTAGATTATATCTAAAACAAAACCTTGCAAATCAGATGAGAACTTCTGCTTTGTGAGTGAGAGCATATACGTATCCAGAAACGTCGTTCACCAATGGACATCGAGCTTCACTGCATGTCATCTGGCATATATTAGCCAATGAGCACAAAGCAAGCTCAAGGCTGTTATTTGGATGTTCTTTAGCTATTTCGTTCATCTTGTCCTGAGTTGTGTGAGTGCATGTGCCTTCGGGAAATAGTTTTAGAAATTATCATCTTTTGTTATGTCTGCGAGAAAGTTGAGATACTCGTGTACGCTTAAAAAATTGTACACAGTTGATTTTCTTTCCATTATTTCCTCAAGGAAATGTAATAACTTTGCAATGTGTACTGTCCATCATTGCGATTTTTTGATTTCGCATGGTGGAAAGGCAGATATTCTCAAACATGTGCGTACACAAAAACACAAGGACAACATGATTTGTTTTGAAAAAAATGAAAAATTAAATTTTTTTCGGAAACAAAGGACCAAAAAGTTATTAATGCAGAATGTCAGTTCTCTGCCTTTGTACTGAAGTGCAACCTGCCACTGAATGCATCAGATCACACTGAAGCTTTATTTAGAAAAATGTTTCCCGACAGTGAAGTCGCTAAGAAATACTCACGTGCAAGGACCAAAACAGGTGCAATTGTTAAAAAAGTGGGTTTGAAAAATAAATCTACAGTTATTGATTGCATTAAAACAGCTTCGTTATGCCTCTCTACGGATGGAAGCAATAATACAGATTCAAAACTGTATCCAATTGTTGTTCTTTTTTTTAATCCAGAGTCTTCAGAAATTGAATGCAGTTTACTTTCTGTCTCCACTTTAAAAGGACATTCGACAGGCTTTAATATAGCACAGCTTTATTAAAACTTTAAAAGAAAATGCAGTCCCTCTGGATAATTGCTCAGCACTTGGTGCCGATAATGCACCGGTAATGGTAGGCTTGAAGATTGGTGTTGTAGGGATCTTAAGAAAGGAAAATTCAAATTTGCAGATTATGAGGTGCACCTGTCACCTTTTAAATTTAGCAGCTGAAAAAGGGGCAGCTTCTTTACCAATAAATGTGCATGAACACATTGTTGATATTTATTATTATCTTGAAAGGAGTTCTAAAAGGAAGGAAAAATTGAAACAGCTCCAACAGCCGCATAATACTGAAATGAGAAAAATTTTGAAACATGTGTGTACACGCTGGCTGTCTTTAAAGAAATGCTTATCTAGAATCCTCGATCAATGGAACCCCCTTCTTGAATTTTTTAAAGAAGTAAATGCTTTGAGCATTAAGATAAAAGGCTCTATTGAAAGTTATAAAATACCTAAAGTAAATGGCTACTACTTTCATTGTTAAAATTAGGTTTGAGAAAAATAAAGTAATTTCTGCACCATTCAACTGCCAGTTATCAAAATAATACTGCAAAATATAAGCATAAAGCTCATACAAATTTATTTCAAAATAAAAAATTTGCTCAACAGACATAACATTTTCCGATTACTGTAAGTTTATCTTGTGAAGAACGAATATTTATGTTTTTTTCTTCGGACCTTAACAAAGCTTTTTGCTTTATTTCACAATTCATTTTGCGATCATTCAATGTTCTTAACCCAGTTCTAGAAAGTAGAATCCCATTAATTCATGTTTTGTAATGATTGATTTATGATCTGTTTAAAGACATTTTATCAATGTTTGTAAAACCAGTCTGTGTTTTGTCTTGTAATTCTATATATGATGTGATTTATGGTGAAATAAAAAATCAGAAGAAAGATGCAGATTTGGTAATAGGAGCTGCAACTACAAAAGTAGTGGAAGAACTTTCAGAAGAAGATAAAAATAAGTTTTATCTTCATGTTAGAAGTTACTTCTGTTGAGTATGTGATTACATACTATATAAATTTCCAGTCAACAATGAAGTGAGTTTGCATGATAAAGTTGCTGATGTTTCTGCTCTAGCAAATGCATCTTTTTCTGATATAAGGTACTTTTTGAACAGATTTCCTGTGTCACTTCATTTAGTCATGAAAGATGATGACATTGATGTTGCCACTGATAATACTGCAGTCACAATTTTGCAGTTTACAATTTGAAAACTTGGATTAAGTTATAAAATCAGCTAGGATTGACATCCAGTGGAGTTTAATTGCAAAACTGAAAGGTGCTGATGGAATTTTAAAATATAGTAAACTGTTTAGAATTATGTTGGCCATCCATTTAAAGTCAATTCCCCATAGCAATGCACAGTGTGAGTGGATTTTCAGTGTTGTTGCGAAAACAAGGACTAAATTTAGATCTAATATTAGTGATGACACATTAGAAAAACTTTTATTAGCGAAAGCAGGCCTACGTGGCAATTGCTATGAACAAAATTAAGAAGTTTCTTTCTTAACAAAAGCAAAATAACATTCATACGAAAACTAATTAAAATGTTTTTTTTTTCCCTTAAACGATGCAAGTAATAAAAATATTTTTTATGTGTAAGGTATTTTTGTGTTGCTTGCATTTAAGAATTAGTAACTATTTAAAGTTAATTCATTATTAAAAACTAGATTTTTTTCATTTAAAAAGTCTTTTTAACATTGTGAAAAATCTCCTGATTTTTGAGTGTCATAGGTTGGCAATTATGCTACACTATTACACAGAAGTGATAGTGACCTTATTTCAAAAATCCTGAAAACTTACCTTAGAGTAAAAATGAGATTAATTTCAAATAGCTCATAATATTAATGTAATACACAAACATATATACACACACACACAACTTCTCAAACAATATTACTTGCTGTGAGAAAATTATAGTGTTGGTGTTGGTGTATTTAATTATGGCAAAGCACACTAGGGCTATCTGCCTAAGGGGAGGGATGCCTTCATGGAAGACTTTCTAAGGGAAACTGGCTCGTATACACGTTACACATTGGGAAAACCACAAAAACACCCATGCAGCCAGCCCATTCGCGGGATTCGAACCTCGGACCGAACTACCAGTGTTTAGCGACTTTACCGCTCCGCCACTGGTGGGCCTGAGAAAATTATAATGCTTTCTAATTTGTTAAATATAAAATTATTTTATTACATCCATTCATGAAGTTACTTTTTTTGATTCAATATTTTTCAAAATATTTGCTTAGCTTGCATTTCAACGGAAATAGGAATTAAATTCTGGGAAATGTTGTGCTAAAACTTTCCTTTGCTAACAATTGAAAGTTTAATATGATCAGCAAGCCATTTTGATACAGACAGTGACTTTTCTCTTAGCCATTCAAGCATTAAGATTAGAACCCAAAGTAAACACTTTCACATTTACAAAAGTAGGAAATGAGAAACTACTACTAGGAAGAGAATGGTTTATGGAATGTTAAAGATTTGAACAAGCTATCCAGCTACTCAATAAATTATCTCTAAAATCTTTACATTAGGTCCTTGTAAGGGATTTTATGATTAAAAAATTTCACATGTATCTTTGTTTAATGAGAATAAATAATATTTCAGTCTTCACAGCATCTGGACTCTTAATGTTCAAGGATGTTCTGCTTTCTATCATATCACTTGTGTAATTTAAATTATCTTTTAACAGCGGATTCAATGAAGAAAGCTTAAACATACTTAAGTTTGTTAATCCTGGGTAATTCTGTTTTCCATCATCTTTTTAGGCTGAATACGTCAGCCCCAAAATTTACAGCATCAGTTTTCTGTTCAGTTGCTTCTGTACATATATTTGACAGTTTTTAACTTTTTGGTGTAACAGAAATATTTTTACATCTGAAATTCATTCAGCAAGCTATAGGCTAAACTTATAAAATCAGTGATAGAAGTTGTTTCAAGACCGAAAACAGGGTTTGCTCCACTAAATTTGATAAAGACAAAATTTTTCAAGGATATTTTTTTCATATAACCAGTTTACTCTGAATACGTCTCTACTAAATTATATTTATTTTATTTATCTATATTAAAACTCCATTTTTAATGAATTTACCTTTTCAGAATTCCTCTTAATATTTGCATTCTCTGCACCAATGAAAATCAATCAGGAAATTAGTTAAGATTAATCATTCATGGATGATAATCTCAATTCACAATGATTGCATGTCCATAGAGAGACATGGTACACAGTTTCAAACACAATACATAACAATGATTATGGATGCATGCAATTATCCAGATGCAGAATTTTTGGGCTTAAAAAAAGTAAAAAATCTGGAATTCCAGTTATATGCAGACTCCAATCACTCCTGCTATTAAAACGCTCATGCAGCCAGCTCGTTGAACGGATTCAAACTTCAGACCAAACTACCAATGTTCAGCGACTTTACCATTCGGCCACTGGTGGACAAATATTAGCTAAAGAAGCGTATGTTGAACAAAAGAGTTACAGTCTATGATCCCTAAGAATGCACTGACTGAACAAAGCTAACACATAGGCCCACCGGCTAGTCAGCAACATTTCGGCATGACATCACGAATTTATTCATGGCTGGCCAGCAGTATTTCGGCATGACACAAGTGTACTCACGGCTGGTTAACTATAAAATACAACATCACTGTTTACTTAAATAATTTTTTATTTAAAAATTGTTGTGCTGATTTTAAAATAATACAAATATCTACCAGTAACTCTTCAATTTACCTGAATTCTAATACACTGCATCTATTCGCATAAGTTAGGCTATGCCAATTATATACACATTCACAGCGTGTTATGTAATACATTACAGTTATTGAATTTTAATTCATGAAAACTGAAGTTGGTAGTCTGGAATTTACAAATGTCATTCTTTAAACAGAAATACATATTATGCATAATTAATAGTTTATGATCTGTCAAGAATGCAACCCAGGTACTTCATAGTGAAAAGGACTTCACTCCTTTAATAAGAAAATTCATTGCTCCCAATAAGTATCACCATGTTACAAAACATCAACCAACTTCTAACACTTTCTTCTATGAGAATTGCCAATTGGCAAAATCTAATATGTGCAGTAATAAAATTCTTGTTTTTTCCAACTACTAGTAAAAGATTTTTTTAATTTCAGATTAAGCAATTTTTCAAGCATCTAATGTACCTGTATATTAATATAACAAACTTTCTCATTTCTATCATAGCCTGTATAAAATGCAGTATATTACTTTAAGCATATAAATAACTTATCGGTAAAGAATGGTAGTTAATACTATACTCTGCTTTTCTTAACAACTGTGCACATATATAAATTTAATCAAAAATGACATACAAAAACAAAATTATATTTTATAAAAAATTCACGGTGAAGTTCTACAACCAGCAGTATATATATATATATATATATACACATCTCCAAAAGGTAAAATATGCATGAATGCTTTAATACTTACCAGTTGAAGCTCCAAGAGCAAGTGCTTTGAGAATGTGACCAATAGATTTGATGCCTCCATCGGCAATAACAGGAACTTTATGCTTTTTGGCATATCGGGCAACTTTATAAACAGCTGTTCCCTGAGGCCTTCCACAAGCCATTACTGAGCAAAAAAGAAAACAAGTTTTTTCCATTTAAACCAAAGAATCTTCCTTCTGTAAATCCTTCTGTAAATACTAAGACTAATTATGGAAAATAAGTCAAATACAGACCATTTTACCAACACTGAAAGTATTATCATAAATTAATGTATTTTTTGTATGGCTAAGTGTTTATTTATTTACTTATTTTGTATATTTTATACAGTAATTACATTCCTTTTAGCTTATTTTATTTAACCTTGAATTTGTAGTCACTTATTGTGTTTGTACACTTCATGCATTATTTCATATAGCTTTCAATTCTGAGTGAATGCTAGAATTGCAACAATAAGCTTATTCTTGAGTGGCATGATCACCTTTATCCAATTCTGAGATTTTCTGCCACTTAGAATATATTAGCTTATAATTTAAAATATTTTGCTTTTTTTATTTTCTTTGGACTTGATAATGTAATTATCATCCTAATTAATGGAAGTTTATGAAACAGGAATAAAAATAAGTTATTATATGAATTTAGCTATTGGCATTGTAGTTAGCATCTTAATTAATGGAAGTTTATGAAAACAGAAATAAAAATAATTATACAAATTTCGCTAGTAAATAAAGTTTAAATACAGGCCTACATGAGCAGATTCAAAAAGCTGTGATACTCAAAGGGTTAAGGAGAACTGAAGAAACAGACTGAAGGTTACATACTGTGCCATGGCAATTGACAGATTCAAAAAGCTGTGATACTCAGAGGGTTAAGGAGAACTGAAGAAACAGACTGAAGGTTACATACTGTGCCATGGCAATTGACAGCACTAGAAAGTTTCAGGAAACATGTTTCAGAAACCATAGGAATGATTTCCCCTCTAACCCCGTAGAAGGCCCTAGTAGTGCTACTCCTCTACCTTCAGAGCAGTAGCATAAAGTTGCACTAGAATCCAAGCCACTTCAGTTCAGATTTTATGCAGACTTGGCTATTTAGCTTATAAGGTATTTTCACCTTCCTTTCTGCATACCTTCTTGGTGTAATGGTAGCACATCCGGCACGTATTTGAAAGGTCCAGGTTCGAGTCCCAGCAATGGCATTGTACATTTCTTCAATTTCCTGATGTTGAAAAAATTCTACATCACGAAACTGAAGTTATATATCAGTCTTTTTTAGTCTAAACTAAGTTCTGAGAGGGATTTTGTGACCTGAGATATTCATTATCCATTAAAGAAAATTTTAGCCATCCTTGAACTATTTTTAGCCGCTTATCTACAAGAATCTTATCTGCTAATCATCTCAAGTTAGAATTAAGTTTCAAGTTTTCCTGAACAGACCCAATTATTTTAGACCTTTGTGAATAAACAAATAGCACACATTAATATTTATTAGTTTCACTAATAAATATGTCCAAACTTTTGGACTTCTTCACAATAATTTGAAGTATAATAATAGTAATTATGTCTTTCAAACACAATGAGGAAGACAACCTAATTGCTTCAACTTATTACAAAAGAAATTTAAAATGTTTCTGATTTCATTACAAATGTTACAATATTAATAACAAATCGCAAGAAATTTACAAATTATTAAGGACAAATTTGGAAGCAAAGTGCAATCGTGGGGAAATGAGAAAAATGTAGAAAATGAAAATTAGCCTAACCATATGAAGAGATATCTAACTCTAATGTATAAGGCTTTTTACTAGAGTATGCAGATAAATCTTAACTGATGTAAGACTTTTCAAATAATAACAATTTATAATGAAAAGGATGCACAGCAATTAAACAAGTATTTAGTATTGTTCTTTGTGCTCTCGGTACATAATAACTTAAATATCCCTGCTAAACAGTTATCCCATTTTAATCCTTGTAATAAGCAGTGAGCACTTTATCAAGTCAGCATCAAACAGGAAAATCCACAAGTTTATTATTGCTATTGAAGGTGTCAAAAAATTATACAGTTAACAGTGATTTTTTAAGCAAAGTTTCTGGAAATTAATCAATATAAATGCTATATCAATATTGCAAATGCATTTAGAAACTTGAAACGTTTCCTGACTACTAAAGTATTTTATTATTTTGTAAGGAAAGCTATTTAAATTGTGTTCTACAAACACAGCATGTTAAAAGCAAAATTCAGTTTGCAGATACAACAACATAGTTTTAAAGTGTTACGAAACAACCCTGGTTTCCAATCTAGCTTAAAAGGAAGCATTAAAGAAAGATAAACTAAACCGTAAATTTAGCATTCTCTTTGACCTCTAGGAACTGATTTTTTTAAAATTATTTTTTAGTATATGATTTCTCTTAACACTTCATCCTGACAATAATCATAGGCTCTAGAAATAGGAATACCTCAGATCATTACATTAATAAGCCTAAAAAATATGGGATTATAGCTTATTATAACTGCAAAATATATTTCTTGAAATAGATAACTCAGGTATTGTATAGAATTGGCAATTGGAGATGTATGTAGGTCAGTCAGAAAGTTTGTTGCACTACTGCGTAAATATGTTCCATCTAAGACTATTGGGATGACACTGCGTGGCAACACTTCAAACATGCACCTTTATCACATGACGTAGCAGCTTCCCCGAGGCAAGTTTAGTTTTTCTGATAATCAGGCGCAAACATGTCTCGACGGCTGCAAATAGCATCCAAATTGAAAATGTGTGCAGTAATTTGTATTTTGTGGGCAAAATGGTGCAACTGCACTGAAATTTATGGGCAGTTGCATGAAGTGTATGATGAAAATGGAATGTCATGTCAAGCTATCGCAAAATGGAGCAACATGTTTGAGAACAGATATTGACGACACCAAGTGCGAGGGAAGACAATCCACTGCAACAAATCCAGAAATCGCTGTTCGCGTGAATGAATGCATTCTTGCAAACAGATGCATAATGATAGACGAAATCTCAAATGAACTGGATATTTCTCATGGAAGTGTGCATAAAATTATTGGTGATCACCTTAAATTTCATAATTTTTGTGCTTGATGGGTGCCACTTCTATTGAGAGGAACATAAAGGAAAGCGTTTTGAAAGTGCATTTGCATTTCTACAATGTTACCAAACAGAAGGAAAAAAGTTTTTGGACAAAATTGTGACTGGAGATGAAAGTTGGATTAACTTCTCACCTGAAACGAAACACAGCTCGCTCAAGTGGAAACATTGCAGTTCGCCGACATGAACAAAGTGTCGAACTGTTCCATCTGCAGAAAAGGTGATGATGACGCTGCTTTTCAACAGAGAAGGCATGGTGCATACAGAGTTCATGCCGAAGAATGCCACAATTAATGTATCTTCTTACAATGAAACACTGAAACGATTGCGACAATCACTTAAAAATCGACAGCCAGGTCAACTGTTGAATGGCATTGTGCTTCTGCATGACAATGCAAGACCGCATGCAGCAAAACACACGTGTGACCTTCTGAAAAAGTTTAGGTGGGAAGTGTGGAATCACCCTCCTTTTGCCAGACCTTTCCCTCCTGACTTCCATGAGTTTGGTCCCATGAAACAATAACTTTCAAATCGACGGTACCATTCGGACGCCGAAGTGAAAGCAGCAGCCGAGCAATGGTTATCGGACATTGGACGGGATTTCTTTGCAGAAGGCATTGAAAAACTTGTACCACGCCTCAATAAATGCTTAAATAACAGAGGTGATTATGTTGAAAAGTAGATTTTGAATGGAACTTTAAGATATAAATAAAGTTATTGTAAAATTTTGCTCCTGTTTTGTTTTCTTAGGCAGTGCAACTAACTTTTTAACTGACCCTCATAACTTACTTTATTGTATTTTACTGACAGAGTGTTTTTTTTAATAATTTCTGGAAATCCTATATCAAAGTAAAATATATATGCCATTTTGCCAACTTTATTTTCTGATTTTTCACCTCGCGTTGCTTTTTAATATTTTCATTTTGAAAATTTTCCAACATTATTATATTAAAATTTTAATAAAATCTTTCGTCTGTTACATTTTTTACCAAAGGCAAGAGCCATTTTGAACTGGCAGCATGCTAAGAATTCCATAAATGAGCAACAACTCAAGAAAATTAAAATAGAAGTAAACATCAGTAACAAAACTCCTATGTCTTTCAAGAAAATCTTCTGTAATTTTTTACACTGCCATTTTTCTATATTCACAGTGATCTGTTTTCACAGAAAACATCAGAGGAATTGCACAAACTCAGTATGTATACTTAACACTGCACATCATTCAAAACAGAGATGCACAGAAGTTCTTTGTACGCGCTATATGCATACTTGGCTTACCATACAAATACTTTCTAGTGACAAATTGCTTTGCCTCATAAATACTTTTTGTAGTGTAGGATTTTTCAGGGTGCATATAATCAGAAAATACCAAAATTGATATCCAATTTAAATTGTTTGAATTAGTTATATTTCAAAATATTAGCATACTGGTTAATAAAAAGCAAAACAGCCTTATTACATTACAATAGCTAATGTAAAGATAATTTACGGCGGGGAAATAAAATATCTTATACCATTAATTTTACTCTGATGTTCGCTTTTTTTATAGTGGGAACTCTATTGCAGTGAAAATACATTAATACATTTACAATACCATAACACATACTAATATTTAAACTCGTATAAAAAAGTATGGGATATAAATTCTTATTCTTTGCTCCTATAACTAAAGAATTTTTAAGACAACATAGGTTTACCTTCTTGAGTTATGCATATGGATCCACTTCCCATGCCTACTCGTAATCCATCCACACCAGCATCAATTAAATTTCTTGCCTGAGCAGTCGTAACAACTATAGAAGAGGGAAAAAATTAAATGTTTGTTTAAAACATGAAAATAAAATTTTAAAAAAACCAAAGATACATTTTTTTTTGGAAAAAAAATATGACAACCCAGAATGTAAAAGATATGTACTCTGAAGTATAACACTCTGATTAACACTAGTTCAAACTTATTTATTTGCTTCAACATATACCCTGTGCGCTAGTGCTAATAATGATGACAGTTTCCTTCATTTTGTAAACTGGCATCATCTGCAGATGGAAGATTTGTTGGCAGAGAGAAAGATTTGTTTTATAAAGACACTATGGTACTCAGTCACGCTTTCTGTTGCCACCATTAATAAGTTAGTGTTCATGGCAGTTCCAATACTGATGGATAAAATTTTGATCCTCTTCCGTTCTTTGCCAGTCAGGACAAAACTAGTTTTGACCTGAGGAAACCATGTAATAATGCCATTTATAACCGTCAACTCCCTTTTGATAAGTGACACCATTTGTCAGATGGAGTGAGGACAATCCATTCTGTAGAGAATGCCATTGCAGCAGTTGGCATCTAAAAGTTTGCATGACTAGTTAGTTGGTGTTAATAGCTGCTTTGTTGCCAAAGTGGAGAGAATGCATTGTCATAGGTGATTGTTTGCCAATTGAGCAAACGCTAGATCTGGGCAAAGCACTAAAAATACTGATATTGATGTCATCCATCGCAAGCAGAGCCACCATATTATTCACTGCCACAGCTTTAGTTAATAATGAATTTGTTTTTCTAAGCTTGTAGTGTGCTGTTGCATCTCAATCAATCACTGCAAATGTGCTAATTCTCATGCAATTAAATTACACATCACAAAAGAAAATCGTGGAAAATAACATTGCTAAATGCTGATAAATGATTTGAAGTCTACATCATTGTAATATACATTGTGATAGCCATGATGTATTTACTGCTGCCACAAGGTATAAAACAGATTTTGATAAGAACTAGATATTAAACAAAAACATAAGAAGCTGAAACAATCATTAAAAAATAAGATTTTTGCTATTAGAAACTATGGATCAATGAATCAAAAGTAAAAAAAAAATTATGAGAATAATTCAACATCTCATTTTTAGAATAAACAGACTAAAAACTTGCATATAATGGATTCATGCTAATAATAGATAAAAAATCATAATAAAAAGAGCTAAAAATGAATTATATTTTTTATACTTACCATTCCCACCAATGACTTGTATATGAGGATATGTTTTCTTTATAAATTTGACCATTTCAATCTGATATATCGAGTTCCCTTGAGATGAGTCCTAAGGAAAAAATCAATTCATAATAACTCAAACAATTACAGAACGGTCAACAATAATCACCTTATATATCAATGAAAACTTTCTTTTCAATCTAGTTAAATTTTCAGCTTTTTTTTAATTTCTTTATTACCTCAAACTTATATTTGTGAACATAAGACTGACCCTCATAACCACATAAAATTACTATCCATATATTTTAGAAACTGGTCTTAAATTGACTATTTTCTATTTGTTTCAGCCACGCTAAGTAATGTAGCTTAATAAAAGGCCTGCCCTTTTAATTTTTTAATAATATACCTTTATATTAAAATAGTTCAATAGCCATGTCATGTAATATATTTGCAACAATTGAATCTCGCTCTCAGGAGGCGTTAGCACATTTTCTGTAAGAGAAATATTTGAAGTGACATCATTTAAGACTCCACAATAGCATAATTCATTTTGAACTGCTATTCAACAGCACAAGAATACTTGAGTTACATGACCGTATCAGTCAAAAATTCTTAATTTGAAAAAGAATATCTATTTTGTCACCACCATCTTAATAGACAGATCTTTTATTCTGTCATTTATGATGATTTTTCTTATGAAGAAAGTTCTATTGGGACCAATTTTGCTGAATGTCTATGGGATTCCATCTTGTAGAGGAATCAGGTAGTTGTTCTAAAATGAATTCAGATTTCCTGACAGTTCAAGCAAACCATCATTATACCACAGTCTATGCCTAATGTCAAAACAAGTCTTTGAAACCTATTGCATAGTTATTTTTTACATTTTTATTTATTGAGAATGGTAGCCTGACTTTTCTAAAACCAATGTTTATATAATAAAAATAGAAGTTAAAAATACAAGGCTGACACTATGTAATAAGTGATTTATTATTATCAGTGTTATAAATAGAAACTACTCTTGGCTTGAATTCTCTTTAAGAAAGAATATACAACATGTCTGATATAAAATGCTACTTATTAATTAATAATCCATAAAATATGAATTATCTTCACAAATACCTACAACATTTGCTGAAATCAATTTTCATTCTATATTTATAAAACCATAGCTTTCACAGACAAATTTTCCGGTGACATTCTTTTAATAGGCCACAGCATTTTCTAACACAAAGAAATTTAGATTATCTTCCTCGAGTAAAGCCTCAGCTAAGTTAAAAAGAAACCTTTCTGGACATTCTGGATGTACCATTTTCCAATTAAGATTTCAAACTATTTTACAATAAAAAGGGCACATGTGGGGCATCAGAATTTTATGTAACACATATGCAAAGCAAATGAAATGGAAAAAAAAAAAAAAAAGATACTCAAATACCGATATTTCAGTATAAAAGCTCGTACCAAAACAACAACATCCACACCAGCCTGAACAAGAAGATGAAGTCTTTCTTTATCATGATCACGTGTTCCAATAGCTGCTCCAACTAAAAGCTGTTTGTTTTCATCTTTAGAGGCATGAGGAAAGTTTCTGCTTTTCTTTAAATCTGTTCTTGCAATTAGTGAAATCAATTCACCCTTGTCATTAATAATTGGAAGCTTTCCTGCACAAATAATATACCATTAAATAAGTTGAATAAGTATATTTTATAACATTCATGAACTATGAAAGAAGTTTATGTTAAACACTTTTAAATTACAAAGATTTTATTATCCTACAAATATATAATTTTGATGTTTATATTACTTGGCTTTTGGTGGAAACTTCATTGCTACTGTTTATTATTCAATTAAATAAAAAAAGAATTTTTCATTGTTTTAGGCATCACTGCATGACTCACCTGCCACAACCTCATACATGATAATGAAAACATAACATAAATGATGCACCAAATTGTCATTTGGAATACAGTACAAAGTCAGTAATCCGGATGTCCATTATCCGGAATGATCTACAATCTGGACCTCAAAGCCATATTTTTTTTTTTTTTTTTTTTTTTTTTTTTTTTTTATGCTTTACGCATGTGCGTTTAACGTATCACGGACAGTATAAGCTAGGCTAAAATTATCTTTACTGATTCTAACGCATTTCAGTTAATGTTGCAGATTGTGCTGTTCCTTAATCTTCTTATTGGATCCGGCTTATTATTTTTTGCAGACTGTTAGAGTAATTTTATAAAAATTAAGCTTGAACTTTCAATTATGTCAAAAAGAGTTTCCAATTCTAGAGCTGCCAAAGGATCTACAAAGCGAAAGCATGTTTCAATGTCCATCAAACAAAAAGTGGAATTGCTGCAAAAAATGGGTAAAGGCATATCTGTCTCAAAAGTATGCAAGGAGTATGGCATTAGAAAGTCAACTGTATATGACATAAGCAAAAAGAAAAAGGAACTTTTTGAATTTTTTGTGGATTCCGACACCCCACTTGCAATGAATAACTGAAAAAGAGTTTGTTATGCAAAAAGTGATGATTGAATGGGTCAGACAGCGTCGCAGCGAGGGCGTGCCATTGACGGGTCCGATGCTAATGGCTCAAGCCAAAATATTTCATGAAGAAATGAACATAAACACTGAGTGCACATATTCGACTGGTTGGTTAACCAAATTTAAAATTCGCCATGGTATAAGACAATTAAAAATTTCAGTTGAAAAAGCTTCAGCTGATACTGAAGCTGATGACAATTTGCAGATGAATTTATTGAACTCATCACCAGTGAACAATTATCTCCAGAACAAATTTAAAATGCTACGGTCTTTTCTGGCAATACATATCATAAAATACCTTGGCAACCTTTACAGAAAAGGCTCCAACTGGTGTCAAAGATTCCAAAGTGAGATTAACAATTTTAGCGTGCACAAATGCTTGTAATCGGAAAACATGCACGACCTCGAGCATCTAAAGGAATAACGATTTTCCCTGTTATATATCGCGCAAATAAAAGAGCATGGATGACACAAGCACTGATGAAAGATTGGTTTGAAAATACTTTTATACCCAAGGCTTGGCCACATTTGAATTCGGTTCGTTTACCTGATGACTCAAAAATAGTCCGGATTGTTGACAACTGTTCAGCACATAATTCACTTAAAGTTTTAGTGAAAGATAATGTATCCATACTATTCTTTCCTCCAAATTGTACGTCTATCATTCAGCCTATGGATATGGGAATAGTGCACGCATTGAAATGCAAATATAAAGTAACATTTTTAAAATCTATGTTAAATTTCTATAACAATGGCAAGACTATTCAAGACTTTTTGAAATATTTTAGCATAAAATCTGCTGTGTAGAGCATCGCAAGATCGTGGGAGGATATGTCTCCAGATACGTTAAAAAATGCTTGGCATAATTTATGGCCATCTACCATATTTCATGGTGAGGACAATGAAGATGATAGCCGCGAATTTTAAAGTTTTCGAACATCGCAAACTAAAGGAGAAATTTTCCAGTTATTAGATTTTGTAAAGAAATGTGGAGAAGCGGTAATAAATAAAGATGATATAACAGAAGTTTTTCATTGCGACGACAATGCCCCAATCATCAATCAATTAATGGACGGTGAAATCTGTAGTATGGTTCTAGATTCAGAAAATACTGCTTCCGATAGTGAAGAAAGGTATTCGACACAGCAATTACAGGACTTGAACAGTGGAATTAGTGAACTAGTTCTTCTTCTAGGCAATTTCAGTTATGAAATATTTCATACCTTTTTTGCTCCTCTGAAGTATGGTATTTGCTTCTTTTAATGTTACACTACTCTGTGCACACACTAAGTCTTCTTTTTTTGTCATAACCTGAAATAAAAATCAAAGCGTAAATACTAACAAAAGCCAGAACATTTATAAGTTTTGCTTTAAAAAAAATCTACTACTATTATAACTACAAGTATTAATTCAGCATAACGCAAATTTTATATAAATAAAAGACATTAATTCTACATCAAAGAAACGTTTAATTGATAAAGAAACATTTTTAAGTAACAACAAAGTTTACAGCAAAATGAGTCTCAAAATGAATTTGGAGCAACCTAAAAAACCATCTTGACAACAATCAATTTATTAATTTTTAATAACTTAAATGAAAGTATATTTAGAAATTTTCCAAACAATCTAGCAAATTAATGAACAATCCCTGACTTTAAGCAAAAACAGGCTATAAATTATTGCAACTTGTATAATTTGAAAATTAGAATTATTAGCAAAACTTATCATTTTCATAACAAATTTGATCCCCTCTAGTCCACCCTAATAAGCAATAATTATCTAAAGCTAGAGATAAATATTCTACAAATTCCTTTAAAATAAATATAAGCATGCATGTTTTTTTTTTTTTTTTTTTTTTTTTTTTTTAGGGTGGGACCCTGACTTTTGGCAAGATTAGTATGCAAACTTACAAGTAAAAAATAGTCCTTGTGTTAAACAGTGTATTAAAAAAATAATAATAACTTGTAAAAAAACTTCAATCATAAAAAGTATACCTCTGAAAGTGGTTTGTCATACATATCTTCTCCCATGAAGTCTATATCTCTAGATGTAACAATTCCAACTAAAACACCACCAATTTCACCATTTTCTGTAATTGGAACACCAGCAAAACCTTTGCTTGCTTTAACATTTATTACATCTCTAAGCTTATGTTTTGGACTCAAAACAACGGGATCACGAATAAAACCATGCTTATATTTCTGAAAATAAAAGATTCATATTTCATGCATGAGGGCGAAATACACAGACAGCAATAAATTTTTTTGAATCAATATTGTCTGCTTGAGAACATACTTCATTAAAAAGTTATAACTACTTTATAATTTAATTAAAAAATTTTTTAAAAAATTTATAATTATCTTTACCACTAAAAATTAAGATACCAAACATATATATTGAGGAATTACAGTTCAATAGTTAAAATACAATGCAAAATAGGTATACAAAACAAAAAATTTCTATAGCAAAAAGCCAATATCATAAATTTTTAATTATTCTTCATATTAAGTACATTCTGTCCATGAAAATGAAGAATATATCATGTTGAATGGTTAATACAAATAACCATACTGAAAGGTTAGTTCAAATAATTTACACTAATTTATCATACACTGATAAATAAGTGTAAATTATTATATAGGAAATAAACACATAAATTTTTAATGATTATTTAATTTTCTATATACTATAATCAATATTTGTTTTACTGTGTAAAATAAATCTTTAGAAGTGTTTTAAACATAATTAGAAAAATAATGTTTTAACTTTTACAAGACTTTCAATTACACGCCTTTTTATAAACTAAAAAAGTAACAATTATAAGTAAATAATATTATTTTATGTTTAATAAAGCACACGTTATTTTGAAATTTTAAGAAGATATTGCACTGGGAGGTTTGAAGAAACTGAAGATCTTTTATTCAGGAAAAATATTAGATTAAAATTTACCTTAACTTTCATGACCTCGCTTGCTTGAAATTCTGGTGTACAATTATGATGAATAATACCAATACCACCTTGAAGCTATAAAAATATAACATTAAGCTATATATGATACCTTAAATATATAATTAATATATTTATTAACAAATGTAATTTTACCAAAATAGATAATATGAAATATCTGTTCAAAATCACATTAAATTTATTAAAATTCAGATTCAATTAAAATCTGCCATTTTTATGCAGAAAAAGAATATCAGACTATCCCACTCAAGGTCGAGTTCACAAAGTTCAGAATTATACATTCAGAAGATGAAATTAAAAACTGCAGTCTGATTACTTCATTCAGTTTCTAATTTAACATTTAAAAATAAACAATAAGTTAATATTCAGAATTAATTGCCAGAAATGCAAAATATATTTGCTACATTATTTTTATTATACACTAAAGCCACATACAGACTTTGGTTCTCACTGAATAAACAAAAGAATTACTCAAAACAAGGCTGAGACTTTTTTTAGCAGGGGTAAAGGAAGAATTATCTACATATGAGACTTCAATAAATATTTTCTATAAATGAAGTATGAAGCAACAATTTCTATTTTACATAACACTGTTTGAAAATCATTGTCCACTTCTTTTGCATTCAAAGCAGTACTAGTGAGTACTTCTAGTGGCGATTGGCAGGTAGAGCCATATTAAATTAATTTCTCTTAATTAAAATTTACTGGTTGTCACTGCAAGCGGCATCTGTTGACTTCAAATGTTAACGAACCTATGTAAGTATTTAAATCTGATATAATAATTTTTTTGTACACATCCAAGTTAGTTTTGTTTTATTTCATCTGAAATAAAAATAACCAAAAATTTGATGAAGGAAATGTGACCAAAGCCATTAAAAGCTTTATTTTGGCATAACAGTGTACTCATCTATTTGCTACAGAAAAGTCTTGTGTGGAAGTCTTTCTAAAGAACTAGCTTGTTTATATCACACACACACACACACAAAGAAACAAATACTCCATCTACTTATTTTGCTAAAAAAGAAATCTAAATAATTCATTTCTGGTTACAAATTATACTTACAGCCATGGCAATAGCCATCTCTGATTCTGTGACGGTATCCATAGGAGAAGACACTAATGGTGCAGCCAAGGAAATTTTTTTTGTTAGTGGAGATGTCAGATCCTATTCAAGTTGTAACAAAATTTAGACTTCAGAATTAAATTTAACAAAATTACAATTTTAAAAAACAATAAAAGAGTAGTTCTAGTAATAATTTAGAAATTGCTCTTTCCAGCATAAAAACATTTGCAAATTAGCTTAGAAGGTAGTAAGTATTTTGTAAATTTTATTAACAAGAAATAAACCCAAAAATACATTAAACAAAAGAATGAATGAAAATTGATAGATTTCAGATTACAAATATACTTTTGATCTCATAGTTTTAATCATTGGATTAGCATATGATAGTACTTGGGTTCAATCTTAGATGATGAATTTGACACATCGGATGATAGAAGAATCTATCTCAATATATATGCCATCACTCAAGCACTACTTGTATGCTGTCAGATGCTAAGATGGAGACAATAAGCATGAATTGTGCTCCTTTCTATCAAATAAAAAATAAATACCCCACAGAACTTTCTGGCTGAAATTCAATAGAGTTTACACATGCTCTTCACCAAAACAGATGTTGCAACAACTGCATATTATAACCCAGCATTGAGAAAGAAAGTAAAGTAGCAATAAGCTAAAAGGCAGAAAATATATCTTCAAAGTTGCATCTGGAACTTAGGTCAGTTTTAGCCTGATGGTTTTAAGCAGCAGATCAGCATCCAATTCAAACCTAGTACACAAATTTGTGATCTTGAAAACAGATGACATTTGTCTCAATATTATTGCTACAGCATAACATTTCATATATAATCAATGCTGAGACACAAAAGCCTCAATGTTACACAACATTTAATTAAAAATTTTTTGTTTCCATGCAACTTAAAAACTAAATATTTAAATTTCTCGGATGTATGTCTTTCTTTTTTAATGAGAAAAATCTTTTCAATTAGATCTTGCAAAAACCTTGGTTAATGTATATTTAAGGGTGCCCCTTGGATTACCACGAAGTTGTTATTTCATTTATCATCAAGTTGTTTCATTTATGGTAACCTGAGTAGTTGAGTGTTTTGGAAACCCTATTGTGGTGTAATTGGTTGCGCGATTGCAGCGATCTGACTGATGAGAAAATATTTCTTGGATGTCAATGAGGAAGTATGTTGGGTATTGTGTGCTGTGCATTGTAAAATAGATGTTTGGTGGTATAGAACGAGAGAGCGAAAGTTTTTTTTTTTTTTTTTTTTTTTTTTCTTTTGTAGTAGTTGAGGACAAAAGAAAAGACTGTTGGATGTAATTCAACTAAATTATAAGTGTTTTGTTTGTACGAAGGAAATGCATATGGTCTAACGTAAAGATCGTTCAGATGGGTTTGTTACAAGAAAGGTTTAAATGCTCACCATATAAATTGTTTCATTAGAAAGCGAGCATGGTTTCAGGAAAGTTTTTGCATGCTGTTAAGGAATTTTGTGTGCCACAGACTGAAGACAAGGAAATTTCTAAATAAGGTAAATGGATATTTCCTTTGTGTAGTGCTTAGATGTTATATGATGAATTTCCTCTTTTATGTTATTTCATGGTTTGATTTAAAATGTATTTCATTGAGATTATACACTTTTTGTTTGGCTCTAGAGTAGAATTGAGTTCTCCTTTGACTTTTTAAATGAAAATAGATCGATGTGTATATGGACAAAGCCAAGGGCACAATGCATCGATGTGTACCACAATGCAGAGTTTGTGCAACTCTGATTTTTTTAAAGTGAAAATATGTTGATGCGTACATGGATACAAAGTTTGTGCAATTCTTTGGCTTTGTATAGCAGCATTTTTTGCCACAAAATTTGCTGCGACACAAAGCCAAAATAACAAATCAAAGAATTGCACAAACTCGGTGTCCATGTACTGCTAAAAATCACCAATTTTCGCCAAGGAGCTCCTGTAAATATACCTTTACCAAAACTTTATCTCACGAAAAATATATACAGATTAAGGATAACAGAACAATGTAAATGTAAACAAAGAGTTGCAAATGTTACCTTAATCAACATAAATTGAATTCAGGAATTCATCAAATGCTTATTACATAACAAGATAATCTAATAAATTTGAAACAAAATACAAAAATATTAAATATTTAATCTTTAATACTTACAACATCATCCGCTGAAAAGTCAATATAGCCAGGCAAAATTAGGAAATCACTGAAAAATAAAAAAGAAAAATGCTTATCATTCAACAACATATTTATAATATTAATACATATTTTACAGGTGAAATTCTTATTCTTTACCTTCCCATCTGACAACTAAATAATACATGCTGTTCTTTTTTCCACTAAAATTGTCATAAAGATGTACAAAATGCAAAAACATGATTAAAAACAGAGGTGCAGATTAAGAAAATGAGGTGGTGTATTTCATGTTCCTAATAAAGAATTCATGCTTAAGAAATAAGAATGTATTTCCCAAGTGTTTAAATTGACCACTAAGACTACTTGCATCTCTTAGGCCCATATCACACGATGTTTGTTTCACTTGAACAGCTGTTTCGGACAATTTTTTTCACTAGTTTACTATTGAAAGAAAGACATGCGACTTTTTTCCTTCCTTTCCAAAAAAATTGCAAGTTGTTCGTTTTCAACCAGTCAGCTATTAGCTTGTTCGTAATGGGGAACCAGTTTTCCCTGTGTTAAGCCCAAAGTGATCTATGGTGATTAGCTGTTGGGACAAAGCAGAAAAATTGTTCCAAACAGTTGTCCTTCCGAAACAAAACGCCGTGTGATAGCAGCCTTATGCTCCAAGCTCTGTCACTTTGTAAATCACGGTCTCTGCTGTGGCAATAACTTTTAAATTATTACAAATATTGCACACATATTTTAAATTAATACATATATCATTTCTAAATCATTACATTTCAGCACAGAATCTGATATAAAAAAATAAAAAAAAACTACTAATTGGAACAAAAGCTGATTGATGACACACTTGCTTTTGCTAAGGTATCACATTATCTGTTCCTGTACCTCTGTAAGAACAATGAAAAATTTTAAGAGGAAAAATGGGTACTATTCTTTTAGGACCGGATTCAGAAATATATGTATGTATGAGGATATATGTATGTATGAAGATATGTGTATGTGTATATATCCATACACATACATGCATAATATGAACACATCCATCCATATGTACACACATTTCTGAATCCGTTCCCAATAACAGGAGAGTATCGAAAAAAGAATTTATGGCAGGTTCTGGTTATCATTCCACTTACTGGATGCCAGGATTTCAGACATTGTATTGTATACGCACACACATATGCTGTGACATAGATATACAGCTAACATAGGGACACTAAGCTATAGTCACTTGCTCAAAAATTTCTATTTCAATTTCTTCACGATCTAAATGAGGAGTGAGCAACGCACAGCTTGATTCATTTTCCCGTGTGGTCCATTATCCTGCTTGACTAAACAAACCTTTCTCAAAGCACACCTATTTCACGTTAAGCGTAATTGTGTCCAAGGTCGACCTCTTTATGTTTCAGAAGTCTTTTCACTGGAGCTTTGATTCAGAGTCTTGATTGTGATTGGATCGGGTCTTTTAGATTGCACACCTATTCATGTTCCTATTATGCAGCTGATTTGCTATAGTATATAATCGTAATATTGCATAATTTATCTTACAAGGCAGAAATATTGCAAAACTTATTAGATGTATCAACTAGTAACGAATATACTGAAGAAAAGAAGGATGGAAGTGATCATGAATTTTTAATTCATACAGTGTTGATTTTGAAAATGAGAGTGATAACGACATAAAATTGCTTTATTGAAAAATATTATAGGAAATGAAAAAAAAAAAAAAATAAATAAAGGGAAAAAAATAAGGATGAAGTGTTTGCCCAGTGAAAAAGCACAGAAAAAAAACAAAATGCACTCCACCAAATGTGAAAAATATTCATAATTGGAACACTCAACAACACTTTGGTGCAATGTGCTGCTAACATTTGTTGTTGCATTTTTTTCTCTATGTTTATAGTGCTAATAATGAAAATAAAGAACCTGATACAGAGTAAATGTATACTATTTTTTCCTCTATATAACAAGATTTTCTATTCCTTTAAGAAATTTTACGTCATAAAAGCCTTTGGAGAAATTAAAAATTTTAATGTGCACATTTTTTTAATTTATAAAATTTATTATTGGCATTTTTTCTGAAGATTTATAATTTTTTTCCAAAAACATGAATTGGGTCTTTTGGAACCAGTACGCGCACTTATGTAACTTGTATCAGCGCACGTGCTCCTGGGTTATAAAATGACTAAGCTCAACAGAATCCACTTTATAGCATTAGGGTTTATGTGCTCAGAAATGATATGCTGGCAGGTCTGTAAAATTAATTTTATCAATTGACATGGCTTAAAAATTATTTTATTCTTTAACACCATCATTGCTCTAACTACAGTCTGACTAATTACAAGTCAGAATCTAAACCTTTTATATCCTCGGTGTGGTGGAATACATCGTCTGCTGCTGCGGGTTAACCTGTCTGAAAAATAAGGGACGCTGCAACCATCGATATAACAGTATAGATGTCAGTCTTTGATTCCACTCAGTTATTATAGCAATATACTGATTTTAAAAAGCAGTGATCACAGAGCACAAGTCTTTACAAAACTGATTTAATTCGAATAGTTTTCACATTCAAGAAATTACAGAATGATCAACACTAAAAAAAATTGACTTTTGGTTGACTGTCCTGCATTAATGCTTCTGACACTCACTATCAGCTCTTAATCTTCTTTCATTTATCATCTTCTTCGGCCATAGAAACATGAATAAAAAAATTATCTTATGAAAGCTAGGTAAAATCCTTATGTCCTTGGCGCAATTTTGAAAATCGTTGCGGACACCAAAATTAACCATTTACTGTTTATCACTAAAGTCGCAATTACTGCTCATCATGTGTCACCAAAACCTGTGTGTACCATATAGTAGGATTAAACAAAAAGCTATAAACATTTAAACAAACCTCTTCAAAACCTTCAGAATGCTGGCATCATAAATAACTGCCTAGTTATCAAATGTTTAAATTACCACTTGTGACTGATTGTAACATATTTGCATATGCAGCAATTTTCAGCCATTCAAAGTAAACTATACTTTTGAAATATGCAAATTTGCATTCATGCTTAGATTTTGGAAGCCATAGCAATTTAAAGAATTTCAAACAGCTTACATTTGTTTTTTATTTTAAAAAATTTTCACCAAAATGCAAAGAAAATAAAATTGTGGGCATACGAAAAAGAAAAAAAAAAAAAACTGAATTACATCATAAAATCCTTTCTCCTAAACTGTGAAAGATCGATTTTAATTAACATGTTTCAGCTTTTCTTAAAATTGGTTGTACATTCCTACTATTTTCTCTACTTCCACCAAAGTATGCAGATGAGAGTTTGAATAGAGTAAGGATCTAAGTAAGGAAGAAGGGACTAGATTTGGCCCTAACCTTTGAAACAAACTCGGCCTATGAGAGGCAAGAATTCACCGAGCTAACAAATTTCTCTTCGGCTCCATAATACGCACTTGAGGAAATTAATGAACCAAGTAGCAGGACTTCTTACTTGTGACTATATAATATATCTTAAGTGACATCTCCTATGCCAACAAATAGCAGAAATGAATTTATATTCAGTTAATTTAGTACATTAAGCAGAAATATAAAACATATTTTAGTTATTCGGTTTTAAGCCTACTGTTATGTTTGATTTAGCTTTTTCTCAGTTTGTAGCACAAACCCAGACAAAAATTTGTCTCGCAGGCTTAAAAAACAGTTAAGCAAATTAAAGTTATATTTTAATTATTCAGTATGTACTTAAGCACATTTTTTTTTTTTTATTTTTTTTTTTATGGATTATTGGAACAAAGGGTTTGTTGCAAGTATTTTTGGAAGTGATATGGTAAATATTATTTTGCCAACACAAGATATTTGCAGAATGGAAACAATTGCATCTTCTTCAATGTGTTAAAAAACACAGCAAACAATTATTTTATTCACTTCAATGGGTAAATCTTAGAAGCATATTTAACCTTTTCCGGTACGCTACCTTTTAAAGTCGGAGTTTTGCAAACAATTATTTTATTCACTTCAATGGGTAAACCCTAGAAGCATATTTAACCTTTTCCGGTACGCTACCTTTTAAAGTCGGAGTTTTGATTAAAAAAAAAAAAAAAGGTAGGCAGTCTAATTAGGCCTAGAGGAGTACATAAGTAAAATTTTGTGAAGATAGCACTTATTGTTTTAATTCTGTGGGTGCACCCAAAGTGGCACACTGATTGAATAGAGCTTCGAAAAGAGTGCCGAAACGAGCATTGTTGTCAATGAACTGACCAATGGGATGCGGAGAAACAAATAATACAGGCTCTTAGTTGTCCTAGCTTATCAGTGAGCCTGGTCTGGGTACACCTAGGGTTCGCCGTTTGATTTTAGACAATATTTCAAGGTAAAAATTTAAAACTAATATAGAATAAGGAGATTAGCACACAGCGAAAAAAATAACATAGAAATTTCTTGGCTGATCTTTGGAATATGGTAACTGGTAGTTTGGCAACATTTTGGAGGCGATAAAGGCGACCTAGGACATTGGTAATAATGTGAGAAGTACAGAGTTCCGATTATGCATTATTTTGTGTGAGGGAAATGAGAGATCATGAGATATGTCATGTGACATTAATGGACGATTTACAGTTCTTTAATCGGAAAAAGGGGGGGATTTGGAAACTGTAGTACTATATTATTTTGTATTAAGCTTCATTGAGTGTTGTGTGAAATAGTGGAAGTGTGCGTGCCACGTAATGAAGATTAGGTAAGTTAGTATTTTTACTCAATTGAGGATATTATTTTTATGCATTGTTCTAAATGTAAGGAGTAAATAAATTAATATGGTGTTATTGGAAAATTGTTATTAGCAATGATTTAGTTTAAAGTAATTAGGATTGTAATCTAATTTTTATTAATTTAATGTATGTGCTTATTTATATTTTAAGTAGTGTTTTTTTAATTTAATTATATTTTAATTTAATGATCGTGATTTTGTGAGTTATATGTTTGTAGTATTTTGGAATACGTTTGAGTAGAATACGTTGAGTATTTTCATGCATTTTCGTGAAATTTTTCTAATTTATGAGAAAAAAGCAGTGTACATGGATATAGTGAAGAGTGTGCGCAATGCCATTTTTGTGCAATTCTGGGATTTTTTTTAAGTAAAAATAAGTCGACGTGTACATGGTTTAGTGATATTTTAATTAAATGATAGTTATTTTGTGAATTTTATGTTTGTAGGAATTTGGTATACGTTTCAGTTGAAGTAAACGTGTATGGAAATAATTTAAATATTTGACACTAAGTATTTGTAACCATTTATGAATTCGTTCGGTATAAATTCGTTGGTGACGTTTATAATATAATAGATAATTTAGAGGTAAAAGTTTTTGGATATTTTATTTATTTTATACGTGGATGGAAATGTTCATCCTTGGAAAGGGTATATATTACTTTTTCGCGATCAGGTAATTTCATATATGTGCTTTTTACCGAGTTTAAAGATTCACAGAAATTTTTTTTGCATTTTCGTGCAAATTTTTGTCAATTTATGAGAAAATAGCAGTGTAGATGGATAAAGTTAGTGTGTGCAATGCCATTTTTGTGCAATTCTGGGATGTTTTTTTAAGTAAAAATAAGTCGACATGTAAATGGTTTATGTGTATGTGCTATTCTGAAAAACGTGCAAGGAGTTTGCGATTGTGCACTTTTTCCCAATTTTGCAGTTAATATTTGTCATGATTAAGCAGTTTTGTTACATAAAATTTCTAGCATAAGTGTAATTCGGCTAGTAGATTGTTGGAAAAAGTGTTCAGTAAATAAAAAGAAAAGAAATATGTCTTTACTTCGTGAAGACAAAATGGCGGCGAAAAAAAAAAATAGAGGGTTTTTGTAGCAGAGTTGGTCGCTAAATTTTCGCCAAAAAATCGCCAAGTTACCATAATCCAAAGATCAACCAATTTCTTTTCAAACAATTCCTTTTATACCCTAAAATAAATCTGGAAGATTTCTTTGAAAAATATGGGTCTTATCCAAAGATATAATCCAAAGATCAACCAATTTCTTTTCAAACAATTCCTTTTATACCCTAAAATAAATCTGGAAGATTTCTTTGAAAAATATGGGTCTTAAAAAACTAAACGTGGCTAAAATATATGGACTGGTTTGTGTTGAGCTGCCATCTACTATAAATAAAGAAGGTTCAGAGTAACCTATAAATCCTTTTTCATTCAATTTTTCTGCGAGTACAGAAGGAAATTTTTAGGTGTGTCGCAAAGGGTTAAATGCCTACAGGATTTTGATGATATGAACATCTCGAATAATAATCAATCAAAATTCTTAAATATGAAAGGATACATGAAAAAATTACACATAGTACATGAAAACCATACAACAGTAGCAATTAATAATCTGCATTTTATCCCAGAATGGACAACTTATTTCAAAGACTAGGCAGTTCATCTTAATGCATTAACTTGCACATTTTGTACCACATGGGACAAAAAAGTTTGGGTAGAGTAGACTTTAAGGTACCCCTTGTATTATGGTGAAGTTGTTTGATTTATCGTCAAATTGTTGTTTCATTTATGGTAGCCTGAGTAGTTGAATGTTATGGAAACCCTATTGTGACGTAATCAGGTGCATGATTCTGGGAAATTTTGAATCATGGGATGTTTTGTAAGCATTTTTGTGGTTTGTGATGGTTTTATTCTTTAGACGGTAGAATGGCCGAATGTAGTAAGATTAATTTGAAGTTTCTGTACGATTTGGAGCGAAAGGGGAAAAGAGCTTTAATTGACTGGTGTGTAAATGAAGGTTTACTTAGTAGGATTATAAGTGTCATGTATGTAAGAAGGATATGCATCTAGTCGAATGTAAAAACCATTTAGATGGATTTGAATGGGTTTGTAGGAGAAAGGTTCAGATGGTCACTATGTGAAGCGTTCGGTCAGAAAGAGTACCTGGTTTGCAAAAAGTCATTTGAGTACGATTGATATTTTGATTTTTACGTGGCTCTGGGTGTACAAAGCGAACTCGAAAATCATGGTAAGTGAATATTTGCTTTTGGTAGTGCTTAAATGTATAACATGTTTTTCCTTTTTTATGTTACTTTATTGTTTGGTTTAAAATGCATTTTATTGAGATTATGTATTTTTTGTTTGTCTATATTATAGAACTTGGTGCTCCTTTGACTTTTTAAGTGAAAATATATCGATGTGTACATGGACAATGTAAAGGGAGTGCGCAATGCAAGTTTTGGCAATTCTGGGATTTTTTTTAAGTGAAAATAGGTCGACATGTACATGGCTAAAGTTAAAAGAGTGCACAATGCCATTTTTGTGCAATTCGGGGATTTTTTTTTTAAAGCGAAAATAGGCCGACATGTACATGGTTAAAGTCAAAGGAGTGCGCAATGCCATTTTTGTGCAATTCAGGGATTTTTTTAAAGTGAGAATAAGTCGATGTGTACATGGATACCGAGTTTGTGCAATTGTTTGTCTTGTTATTTTGGCTTTGTGTAGCGGTGACTTTTGGCGTAAAAATCACTGCTTCGCAAACCAAAATAACGAGTCAAAGAATTGCACAAAATCAGTATCCATGTACCACCAAAAAATCGCCAAGGGGTACCCTAAACTATACTTTTACCAAAAGTTGTTCAAAGAAAAAAATCTTTATGAATAACTACAAGCCTAAAAAAAGTAAAATCAATAATTGAATGCAAAAGTATAAGAATACCAATGCATTTATCATAAACTATACACATTATCTATTCTTCTGATATAAAGCATTTAGCTTAAAACTGCCGTGATATTAATATTAACAGATAAAAATGAAGTCATAATCTGGATGATGAAAAAGCCACCCAAGCTGGCTAAAGAGGGCAAATCCCTTTGTAAATATTAGACATTTTCTCTGAAATTACAGTAAAACTTTTCAACCATTGAAATATTTCGAGATAAAAAACTATCTGATTAAAAGAGAAAAGCCAATTTTAAAAAAATACCAGTTACAAACATAACACATGTGCGAATTCCTAGTTTAATTTTCTAAACTTAAAGAAAATAATTATTACTAAATAAAATTTATTGGTTTACTTGTATGTCAATCCATCTCCAGCACCAAAAAGCTCTTGGGCAGACAGGCCATCGTTAGAACCGTCATCAGAATCACCGTGAGACATTGCGTTTGCTTTTGAATAATCCATACCTTCTTGACCACCCTATGAGCTTGACAACTTAGGAGCTGGTAGCGTTTTGCGACATATTTTCTGATACACCTAGGTTAAATACTGTTATCGCCCAGTGCGAAGCGATAACAAAATTCGCGACATGCCTCACATCATCCAATCAAAATCTTGCGTTCCCACGAAAACTGACAACCACTTGCGTGTTGAAGGTAGATTGCCAAATCCTGGAACTTAATTTCGATAGCAAAGATGATTCAAACATTGTTGCGAAACTTGCGCACCTGAGGATAAGGGGGAACAAAGGGAGCAGTCTGGCAACCTGCTACTTTTTACACATTTCTACGGTCTGCAGTTTTGGCGAAATCTAAGAGTCGCCAAAAGTTTTTCAAAAGTGTCAATATGCAGTGTTCGATGTAAGATAGATGTAAGATAGCAGGAAACTGCTAGTCTCTGAATAATGTGACTGATTGAAATTGTACAAGTTAGCTGTCATTTAATGGGAAAGCGAATATTAAAAATATTTAATAATAAAAAGAAAGTTTCACATTTTTACCAATACAATTTTTAATTTAATGTAAAAGGAAGCAAAAATTAACTCGTCAGTTATAATCCAAGCTACTAGAACAGATTTAATCACTATCTCTCTTATATTGCATTACTAATTGCTATTCTAACACTTTTTATATTGAAACTTATATAAAACTGATTTAGTATATTATTAATAAATTTAGTGTGCAGTATGAAAATTAGCAATTAGGCTACATTGTATTTGTTATTTATATTTAGAAACAACGGTTTTCTCAGATGAACCTCACCTTAAAAACTTTCGTAATATTAATGGGTACTCACGTATTATCCAGTCTACCATCAAAGCTTGCCACCTCCGAATCATAAAGGTTTGCCAACATCCAACAAGGTTTTGCCCATCACTTTTAGGAATTCTGATGAAGGAAAATTTTCAGTTTTTTAATAAACTATCAGCATTTTACTCGCTTTAGTTTTGCTCTAAAATAGCTTTCGTAAATTTCTACTGTTTTGTTAGATCCTCCGAGTTCACCGAAAGCTCTGTTTAGAATGCTATGAGTGTAAACTTACAGCAAGTAATTGTTCCAATCCCAAACTATAACCCTTATATTTTGCCAGCCATAGTCAGATTAGCCCCATATATATTATTTCCAATATAATGAATATATTGTTACGAATGCATACATAGCGTATATATTGTTACGAATTTTCTATATAGATAGAAAATTTAGTGAAATCATAGGTGAAATTTTTGTATTTTTCTTTTTTGAAATTCTTGTATTTTTCTTAATGTAACATGAAAAGCTTGAGAGAGGTGATGCTCTGCCGGAAACGTAAGAATACAGGGGCAAGTCTGTTTAACATTCAGTAAATTGCTATTAAGCTAATTTGACGAGATATTGCCAAGCTGGCAGCAGCTTTGGGGACTAAATGTTTTCACCAAATTTGGCAAGAAATCACCAAAAGTGGCAAATTTGGCAACATTTTGGTCCAATCCCTGTATAACTGCAATTCGAAATGAATAACTGTAATTGATTCCTCTGTCAGCTGCAACCGTATCCGGCCTCATATGCCTTCCAGTAACTTATTGGTGGCAGGGGAAAACTATATAAGATCGGAGAGAGCATTAGTTTCTTAGTTTATAGTTGTTAGTTGAGAGCGACTTCGGAATATTGAGATATCCGGAGAGATTCGTCTTTTAGATCAGCTTTATCTGCTTTACTTAACATTCCTATTAGTTTGAAGTGTAAGTACTAATTGTGTTCTGTCATGTGAAGAGCTGTACTAGAATTTTTGTGGAAAGTTCCAGAGCTGTGAAGTGTTTCTTTGGATAAAGTAAATTTTATCAAGCTATAATCGGTGATTTTTAAAATCAACAGGCATTTGTTGTTTTGGGTTCTAAGAAAAAAAAACCCACAGGAAAAAAAGCCCACAGGAATAATGCTCACAGGTAAATGCTCGCAGGAAAAAATCCCACACAGAAATATGCTCACATAGAAAAATACAGGGAAAAATGCTCACTTAGCAATATGCTCACGCGGAAAAAAGCTCACACAGATATATGTTCACATGGAAATAAGCCCACTGATAAAATACGTAGAAATATCCTTATATTCATCAATCAATAATTAATCGATTTGAATATCGTACACCTACTTGAATTTTTTAAAGAAAAATTATTTGATCATTTGAAAAAAATATTGGACAAATGCTCATATTATCCTTTTAATGAGCTATATATAAAAGAATAAAAATTATAGTAAAATTTTGCATGTACTGTAATATTTTAACCAGTGCCCCCTGTACGACAGTTTTCTTCCCCTGTAACTGCCAATAGTTTATTTTTGTTTTTTTATTTACTCTAGTTTTGAATACTTTTGATGTGTATGTATAGAAATTGATGTTTGAATGTAGTTATTTAAGTTTGCAGCCAAAAAGGTTCTAGAAGACCACAGTTTCCAATCGAAGTATGGAATCATTATGAAGCAGCCTTCGAAAAATCTCCTAAAACAACAAATTATTTACGAAAGCTTTCATAAGGTATTAAATTCATTATTTAATTGTAGCCTTCCTAGTATAAGGTTTTTGTTTGACGGACTGAAAAAAGATTTCGCCTGTCAACGTTTATTACTAGCTATTGTAAATACAGGACGTGCTGAAGTAATAATAATAAAAAAAAATGAAAACTTACATTTGGTAACCGCGAATAATGTAAGAAACTATGATGAAATCAATGATAAAATTAGATTTTTACATATATTAGGTAATATTAAGTTTGTAGAGACATTAGGATTTTGGAAGCAGGAGATGGGAAAAATGAGTAAAGTCTTCGTCGGGAATCGAACCACGGACCTCTGGAATACACGTCCAGCAGGCAGACCACCACACTACGAAGGCATGCTAGGAAGGCGACACTCTTCCCTTTTAAAGGGCGACTGGGGTTTTCAGGGGATCCAATCGCCGAATCCGGGGTGTGAAATATCATCATCCAACATCCTTTTAGTTCGGGCGCCACTGTAGAGACTATTAGGTTATTTCGAAACAGAAGATGTGAAAAATGAACAATGTCCTCGCCTGGACTCGAACCACGGACCTCTCAAATTCGCATCGAGTGTGCTAACCATTACAACACGAATTCATACTAAGAAGGCGGGAGAAATGCCTTATAATGTAACCATACGAACAAAAACACGTGTTTTTCTGATTTTGTACTCATAATCGTTTTATAAATGTTTATATTATCAAATGCGTAACTTATACTTACTATTATTTTATTTTTTTTAACAATTAAAATTGTAATAATTTCTCGCTGTATATTCTGTTTCATTTTTCTTCCTTCCTCCTCTCTTTTTCCCTAATTCGAAACGGTCCATTTGTTAATCTTATATAGCAACTAAATCTACACATAAGTTATACAGTTTTTTATAATACCATAGATGGTTTGGTAATTTAAACAATTTTTTCTTTGAAAAATTTAAGTAGGTGTACGATGTTTAAATCGATTAATTTATTGATTGATTAATGTAAGGATATTTCTACGCATTTTATTTATCAGTGGGCTTTTTTCCATGTGAGCATATATCTATGTGAGCTTTTTTCCGTGTGAGCATATTTCTAAGTGAACATTTTTCCATATGAGCTTTTTTCTATGTGGGCATATTTCTGTGTGGGCTTTTTTCCTGTGAGCATTTATACATGTGAACATTATTCTGTGAGCATTTTTCCTGTGGGCATTTTTCTGGTCACCGTTTTTTTTTTTTTTTTTTTTTTTTTTTGTGTGTGTGTGTGTGTGTGTGTGTGTGCATTTAATCTATTGTGAACCCGTACGTAAGCAAAAATGTACGCGTTTTTTAATGGTAGAGTCCCATAACTTTGAAAATAATCCATGCTTGCCATTCTGCCGAAGGTAAGTCCCAATTTTAATAATTTTTCGAAATGCAAGAGAAAAATGCGGCAATATCAGTTAATTTCCGTCCCTTGTTCATATAAAAAAGTTTAACACATCGAAAATCAGTCGTGGTTATATCAGATGGAAGAGCAGACGTTATGAGAGTGTTGTGACATCACGCTTAATTCATGACATAAGCTAAACCGCGCTATTTGATGATATTTTCACAGTCAGCGAGATAATACGGAAGTACTCATTAATGTTTATTGAACGTTACAAAATATCTATCTACGTATTTGAAGAATTTAGTTTTACTGTACATTCAATAACAAAAAGAATCACAGATTATTCAAACTCCATGTAATAAAAACAATAAAATAATTCCAAAGCTCAAATAACTTCTTATTTTATTTTTTACATATTAAACATATTAAGCATAGATGTTTAAATCTCAGTAGATTCTAAAATCCCACACACACTATGCATTCATTAGTGGTGCACCCTTCGTAATTTCTCATAAATTAAATTTAAATGAGATACTTGACAAAAGAATATATATGATAAATTAATACAAATATTGCAAAAATAATCTGAAATCATCCAGTCACTGTTGACTTATGAACTATATAAACTAATTAAATTATTAAAATTTCATAAAGCAAATATTAATCTTATGATGTGATTAAAATTTAAAGGGAAATTTTTAAAAGCCTGGGGCTTCATGTCCAGAAAATATTGGTATGCATCTTGTCAGTTTCATTTCTGAAATTTTAAAAGCAATGTCAATAAGAATGTATCTAACTCATTGAGAGATTTCACATCTGAGATCTACAGAAATTACAGTAGACCACTAAGGTATTTTATATAAGGAGGAATGTTAATTTTATTTATATAACAGCGATATATAAATTTTAATACAGTTTTAATTTACACGCCAGATATTAACATTTGTTCTATGCTTTAATTACTTATGAAACATTTTGATACTTAACCACTCTCTTATCATGTATTTTACAGCTTCAGTGTCTGTCTCTCTGGAAGATCTTAAAATAAGAGTAGCTTGGATACTTGTTTTATTTGCGAGACTTCTAAAGTTAGCACTTTTGGGTACAACTCAAATAGCACTGAGGGACTCAACTTGAAAGAAGGTAACAAATCAGAGACCTTTTTAGGGTACAGTGGTGACAGAAAGAAAGAGATATTCCTTGCTTTAACTGGATATAGGCAGGCTAAATAACACTGCACTGAAAGGGAGTAATATC